TCAAGGGCCGTTTAAAGTGGACGAACTGGAGAACAGGTGCTGCATTTTCTGGGAAAACCACTGGGTACTTCAGGAGGTGCCATGAACTGGTTGATGAAACTGGAAACGTCACCATGTACCCTTGGAGAAACGAACAAAACGAGATGGAAAACGCATGGCTTCCCTTCCCTACTCATGATGGATAAAAGGTGGATTTTCATGGATTTTCCATTGATCTGCTGGCGCAATGCGAATCCTGTATCAAGAACGGGTGGTTTATTGAAGTGTATTGAATCTTCATCTACTGGTTATTTAACATAGCCATGGAACATCCCCAAAATAAATGGAGGTTTGTAGCTGGGAAAATCATCTATTTCTATGGGCCATCTATACCATAGCTATAGTTACTATAGTTAAATAACCAGAGGGTAGTTCGCCCTTTTTTTTCAGAATGAGTCCACGTGACGTGTGGCTCGTCTTTTCGTCGTTTTTCGGGGTGTTTTTTGCACCACATAAAATTTCAGATGTTGGAGCCATGGGGCACCAGATCAAATCATGGAGCGAGGAAAATCTCCACCGTGACGACATGAAAAAAGCACTTAGTTGACCCTAATATGATAGTATCTGGTTATCTGGTTGGGTGGTTTGGAACCATGGAATTTTGAATGACTTTCCATTCAGTTGGGAATGGAAAATCATCCCAACTGACGAGCTCCATCATTTTTCAGAGGGGTAGATATACCACCAACCAGGTATGATTGGTTGTACCAGACAAAAAGAGCCATTCTTGATGATTCTGGTTGGTCCTTGGAAAATCTTAGATGCTTTTTGGTTTAGACCTAGCTCAACATTGTACTGTATCGAACCTGAAGATTTATGATGAATTTGGACACCCTTAGCCTCAAACCTTCTTTGGAAATCAGTAATAGTAACTCTTGGATTTGGCAGGTTAGAGGGGAAATCATTTCTCTATCATTTGCCATTGTCCCAAAGTTGAAACTGTTTGTTCATAGCAAAACATCTCATAAAATGCCATCAAATTCAAAATGCCATCAAAATCCTGAAATCATTCACTTTGGTTAATGATAACCTGTGATTTCTTTAGTTTGGTGTTGGGTCAAAAATCCATGAGCTACATTTAAAACAAGGGGGGATGGTTACATCGATACATTCCAGTTGTTTGAACATGTTAGGGGACCAGGCTATATAAACCCCTCCCATAGTCCCACATATCCCAGAGTATTCCCATCATCTTCCCATTTCTTGTTGGTTATCCCAGCACTAATCTATGGTTGGTGTTCGGCACGTATTATGGTTGGTGTTAGGTACTGTAATATGTATTAATGTATATAATGTTTGTAACACCAAATCATATAGAGCTTTTAAGGGACCCCCTTATATCATATATTATATATATATTGTGTATATATATATAGTTCCAGAACATATATCGCTAGTTAAGCCACTAAACTATATTGTGGTATCCCAAATCAAACTGTCTACAAGTCTACAATGATATTAACGATAAGTTGGTTTATAAGCCCATGAACTATAGTTATAAATGCCACACAGCCGAATGAACTTGGAGTTATTTGCGCCAACTTAGCTAACGGGGGCCCACCTTCGAAAAGGTAAGTTCATCCAATTTTATCGAATTATACCACTATTGATGATGATTAAATGCCAATTTGTCCATGGCAAACTGTTAATTTCCATAAACCCTAGCTATGTTATGCTATATTTATGCCATGACATCCCCATTATATCCTCGTTTGGGTTGCTTAAATACCATGAAATCACCATTTCTGTTGGAAGTTGAAATATAGGCCAATAAACGGACATCTAATTATATAACAATATCTATTTTATTCATTATATCTATATGTCTAGTTATAGTAATTATATATATATATATATGTATAGTATTATATAGTTGTACATCGATAGTATCACTAAACAATATTTATGGTTGGTGTATTTCTAAAATTGCCTATCTACGATATCTATCGTTAAAGCTCGATATCTATATCTATATATAAATCAAATATACAAATATCTCTATAATATCTCCAATATATCTATATATCACTAACATATCTATACAATCTATAATATATATATTATATATATTATATATTATATATATATATATTATATATAATCCATCTACACCAGAGTCAGGCCGATGCCTTGGTCCAAGCCATGCGTCCGGTCTTGGTGGAGTCCTGGAAGCCCAGGGTATTGACAAAAACGGGTTATTGAAGGGTAGCCATGGAGGCCATGGCCCATAGAAATACTGTAGATGTTTTTTACCATCAAAACTAGTGGTCTAATGGGTTAGACTGGGAAAATCATTGGGAAAATGATGATCAACTAACCCTCTGGTCAACTAACATAACTATGGAAAATGAACCATTTTTTGATGATTTACCGAACTTAATAGCATGGTGATTCTCCAGTTCGCTACGTGAAATAACCAGAGGGTAAGTATCCAAAAAAAGAGAAGGAAGCAATGAATCATGGATATAGTTGTGGTTATGTTAGTAGGGAGGAGCCTGACGAACAAGTGAATGGCATGGGGTAGCCAATTTTCAGATCCACCCACATGGGAACAACTGGTAGATCGTGGATCATTTGGTAGATATGACATGATTTGACATGATTTCACTAATTTCGAGATTTAAATTCAGCCAAAATGGGGTTCAAAACGGGATTTGACCAGCAGAAACCTGGGAGTATTTGGGATTGAATCAGCCAAAAGAAGATAGGAATTGACCAGCGAAGGGTTATAACATTTCAGGAAGAATTCGGGATCCATGGATGTGTAGATCACTGGATCTCATCTTGGCTTTGCAACACCTTTGGAATGTCAATTCTATGGTCGCAATTATATTGAAATGACACGGACCCAAAGACACATATGAGAGAGAGAGAGAGCGAACATGTCAAAATTTAAGTACAACCAGTATGATGCAAACTGAGCAATAGGATACAACAGGGACAACATGAAGAGTTCATAGATCTTCCCTTGAGTATTTGTATGATGCCATACTGGATCTAAACTTGCAGTTGTAGCTCTGGTCCGTCGGCAAGCAACCCAAACTCAGAAGCGTATAATTTTGTTGGGCGATTCATTCACGGTGTTATATATCGGTTTGTTACCATTTCTTACCGTCAAAATAAGTCAACTAGAAGAGATTCATGTTCACAAAAACCTTGTACACAAAAACTGAACTCATCCCCATGTCATACCCATAGGATCCATGTATGCTACATATATGGTAACATTTACCATCAATATACCCCCAATGTTAGCATATATACCAGCACCATGGATCCTATGGGATACTTTTCAATACTTTTCAGAGGTTTTTCACAGCTTCAGCATCAATCCTGAAAAGAAAAGCCACACGGACGCTCCGTGGCGGACGCCGAGCCACCGCTGTTGAACGGCTGCAGCGGAGCGTGCAGCGGACCGCGAAACATGCCCCAGCAAATCATATGGGTATGGATCAATACCCATCACTATAATACCATTTTTAATGGGATGAACATCCATAAATCCCGCTATTTTGATGTGAACTACAGGGGTACCAGGGTTTTGACACACTGCCGGAAACTATACCCCAGCAAATCCAAGCAAGAATGGGTGTGAATCGTTTCCTATCAAAACCAGCATAGATTCAAAGTGATTTCACCCGACGTTTCAAGTCTTCCAATGAGCCGCTCAGCGATGCCCGCTTCAGTGAATGTGTGCAAGATCCAATGAATACAATTGCAGCGGTCCAAACATGGGTGCTCTCCGAAGTTGAACACTTATTGAACACTTAGATACTCATCTAAATGATCGAAACCCGTAGAATTTACCGATCTCTTGTGCCGCTGACAGCATGTCGTTGCGGCTTCTGAAGAAGCAGGTGGAAGGAAGTTCAGGCAACTGTGGGGCGATGATTTTGGGTTGGATTCCAATGGGCGTTGATCTCGCCCAAAATATATGGGTACTTGTATGGGTCAAAATTAGGTACCCAATAATTGGATGGTTGATATGAAACATATACCAAAGAATTACCAAAGTCTGTGGTCCCCCAGGTCTTTAAATTTGACGCAAATCCATATCAAAGCCATATCTGGCTGAAAAAACCTCCGTTGTGGTAGATTAATGGTAGGTCCATGGCCTATTTTCTTTTGTGGAGGAACACAACAATGTACGTAGTAAACCCAATGCTAAACCATCCTTTGTACTACTACAATTGGGTGGTGTAAACCATCCCAATAGTTATTGGGTTTACCACATTACTCAGTTGAGATGTTTTTTTCGTACTTTGTTGCAGAGTATTCCTCAAGAAAGTTTGCCAGGCTGCGTCACGTAGCTCTGAATATGCGCATTGTCATATACTCTGCCTGAAATTGACCCTGCAAGATCATCCATTGAAGAGGGCTGATTTCGGATGGCATAAACTGCTTCCAATTGTATTCACTGTAAATATCCTTAATTATGATTGTTCTTGAGTCCTCATTTGCAGCTGACATATCTATACATATCTATAGATATCTGACATTCCACATGTCGGTGCATGAATTATATGAATTTCTTACTTGCGTTGCTGTTGCCTCAGTTGTCAGGTATGCATTTGATAAGCGGCTCTACTCCAGACAGTTGAAACGGGGTCCCATCGGAGATTATTTCTTTGATTCGACCATGGTGAGTTGTATCCCAAGACATCGATAGGTTCATGAGGGGTTGTCAAATACGAAACATTCAATCACTGATTGGTGGTTTGGAACATGAATTTTATGACTTTCCATTCAATTGGGAATTTCATCATCCCAACTGACGAACTCATATTTTTCAGAGGGGATGAAACCACCAACCAGCATTCAATCATTTCTACTATGTGTTCCCATTTTATCATGGAATTGACTGACTTAGATCCCCTTACAATCTGCGAATATAATGGGTTGAAAGTCTTCATGGCACATCTCTACTCAACTTTAGTCACTGACCAAGTACCTAGTACCCCGTAGATCCCCATAAAATATTTATACAATTGTGGATATTCCATATCAATAACTGGAAGATTGGAATATTTCATGCGGTTCATATTGCAATTATATATATATATAGAGTTAGTTCACTAATGTGTGCCATAGGTTTATACCACCTGCGATGACTGGGGGATGGTTTGACCATTTTGAAGCCAGCGACGATTCGTGGATTCGCGGAATGCCTTTTTGAAGGCCTTTAAGAAGCGCTGCTTTGTGCTGTCCACTTCCACCCAATTCCGCAGCCATTGGGAAACCGCCAGAGTTGGATGATCACTGGGACTGGTCATGACTGGTCAGATATGTGTCAGATGTGTCTCTTTCTCATTGGAAGTCCAACTGAATAGCAGTTCTAGCAACTGCAGTAGTCAGTAGTCTGGAGGCAAATTTGAAGTTCCGCCCTGAAACTTATTAGTTGATTGGCAACAAAAGGTTCTTGAAGGTATAGCCGTATAGCCAATCCTTCTCCTGCATCCTTTCTACAATTTTCTACAATCCTTCATAGTTGAGATCAAGTTGTAAATGGTTTGTTGCAAACATAGCTAAAGTGAGTTGGCCACATTCGCTATGGAACCTGAAAAAACAAGGTGAAAAGGTTTGAGGATAAACAAGATGCTGCAACTGCAACTGAACGTGTCGTTGCCGAGTGGCCGGTGTGTAGCTCTATCACTTGGACCGACAATGACAAGGACCGTTTTTGTTTTGAAAATAAAGGCGCAGCAGTCTTTAGGGCTACCTTTCCTCAGGCTTGCTGCCCCCGATGGTCGCCTTGTGGATCCAACACAAACTCTTCAAGATTCGGGCCTTCAAAGTGGAGACAGCATTACTGCTGTTGCACAGCAGTCCAAAGTAGCTGTAAAACATCGTGCCATGGTTTTTGTGGTGCGTTGGAGGTGACATGATGGTCACATGGGGCCTTCCGCGAGATGGCGGCAACAGTAACACAGTCGGCGATCAGCTCAGGAATGTTGGAATGTTCAGCAGATCCATGCCACAGGGGCAGCTTTTGCCGCAATCTTGGCAGATGACAGTGTTGTGACGTGGGGTGTTCCAGACAATGGTGGTGACAGCACCAGAGTGAGGGACCAGCTCAGGAATGTTCAGCAGATCCATGCCACACGGTTCGCTTTTGCTGCAATTGTGGCAAATGGAAGCGTTGTGACGTGGGGCAATCCAAACTTTGGCGGCGGCAGTAACAAAGTCGGGGATCGGCTCAGACATTTGTAGCACCCGATCTGATGTGCACAGCAGCAGCTGCATTTCGGGCATTGTCAGTTGTGTGTATGCCTGTGCGCGTGTGCGCGCAGTGCCTCAGAGATCATCAGAAGTGGCATTGTGACCAAAAAAGTACTGCGGCTGGGGATTGAAATTTGAAGTTTGAAGGCGGCAACCAAGCAATGTTGACCTGGAATTGCTGTAGTCAAAATACTGACCCTCAAGTCGCGACTTCTGGGCAGTTCGTCATGGCTTAACCTTTGTCTATTTTGGTGGCGAAATACTTCAAATATCTTCAAATATTAATTTAATGATTTAATATTACTTAACGAAGCATTTCCTGCAGGGAATGTAAAATTTGACATCAAACATTTGTTCTTCCCTGTTCTACCTTCGATGATTTGCCCAGCAACCAGTTTTGATCACGACCTTTTCCCCAGTTATCATCCCACACATGAAAACATGTATCATCGGTTTGGAAGTTGGCCCCGTGGCATTGAAGGAGGCATAAAAATGCAGCAATTATTGTCTTCAAATGGGGGCTGGAAAATCCCAGTTCTAGATGGAGGTTTCTTTTTTAATGAGGGTCCATTTTCAGTTCTGCAGGTTTCTTTTTTAATGGGGATACCCCCAATCATTTTCATCATTTTCATCAGATTTTCCATGGATTTTCCATTCATCCAGCTATTGGGGTACCTCCATTTATGGAACAACGGAGCCAGGTCCAGCCCCGAGTTCCTCTGCCACCAGCGGCTGGGGCACGCGACGGAAAGCGCCGGGACCTGGAGGAGCCGGAGGAGCCGGAGGACCTGGGCGCGGCGTCTACCAGGCGCGGTGAGCTGCGAAGATGATGGGTGGTGAACTGTATACCACCATTATATACCATTATAATAATTCGAAAGTATCTCGTAATATCCATAAAAATAATTGTATATTCAGAATATTATATTCATAGATACTTATAATAATGATGCTTATTTTTTTAAATATGCATATACGATAAACACACACACACACATATTATATATATATATTATATATTTGTGACTTGTGCATAGATTCAGGGAGAGCGAGAGAGGGAGGGAGCAGAGTAATTAGCATACAACCCAGATTCAACATATGTAACGAATGTTGCTTGTCAAACGCCGAAGGGATTTTGCCTGAACTACTGGATAGTGGTGACATGAGGTGACTATGGAAGATCCAAGTGTGAAGGGAAGGCCAAATCAAAATGGTAACCATCTCCAAGGTGTATGGCTTGCAATCTGGATTTATTTTGTGTGGACGTTTTTTTAAACTGGTTTTTGATGGAAAGCCGGTGGATGAAGACCGACAACCACTTCTTCTTGCGGTTGAAACATGATCCCACAATGCATTCAGCTGAAATTCAGAGCTCTGGACTTGACATCAAAGAAAACCAACTGACATCAACTGACCTACTGGTTGATGATTTTATATGTTATATAGTTGCATTATAGGCTATATGTCTTTGTTTTCAGCCCTCTCTGAGATGATTGATGATCCCTACTAATGCTTGTTGGGTCCATGGTGAGTTGTGATTTGGCCAGCAGATCACTCTTAGACTTGGTTCAATGCAACGAACATGTTGAAGAAACCTGTCTAAGTTGTTCAATTTTTTTTGCGAAAAGTTTCACGTCGGACATCCCCTTGATCTTTGGCTTCACTAGGCGCCATAGGTTTCTTGAAAAATTTCTCCCAAACTCCGGGATGATCTCCGGCAGGGCAAAGGCAAGGGTAGAGGTCGTGGTGCTGGACCCTTTCTGGAAAGCGTTGGAGAGGACTCTTGGTTTTGTGGGGCCAAGGGGCCAAACCTGAAACAGGTTGACCTTCTTACTCCTCCCGGAAAATCAGAGAATCATACGAAATCTTCCATGTTTCTTCGATTTTATTGGAATGGGGCGGGTTGTGACCTTCGAGTTGGATAGATTTAGACGATGTTCTCGTATGCTTGGGCTGCAAACATCTGCAAACTACAAAATTTGAGCAGTTGGCCCATCCCCATCCACCTGGGGTCCCTGTACCATACTCCCACTGTGATGGAGAAAGCACCAAGCAATTGGCCTTTCGTTTGGCATAGCAGTTGGGTATGTACCAGAAAGAACACCACAACTTTCCATGGGGTATCCATTGCTATGCCAAAAGCAGCACCACCTGGGGCAACAAGTTGGATCCTCCAGCCGTAGCCTTACTGTCGGTGAAGCGTATGATGTTTGTAAAGTGTATCCACAAATGTCAGGAACGCCCATGATTTTCCAAGGAAATATCAGGAAAGTATCTATCTATCTATCTATCTATCTATATGTAATTATATATACACGGTGGTGAACTGGTGAACTGTCCAATTTGAACACCACCCAAGCTTTCATCATGAGGGAAATTGATACTGTCCCAACAACCAGCTCTTGTTGGTGGTCTCAAACATGTTTCATGATTAGTAATATATGTGCTGTGGTCCCAAAAATGCAGTTTTTTTTTTCAGATGTGTTGAAACCACCAATCAAACAATTAAAGCTTACCGGTGATGTTCAAAAAATGGGCCATTCACCAAGCTCTGTTTCCCATTCACTTTGGATCGCCTTCAGAGTGGGTGATGCCTCATGTTTATCATGTTTATCACCGGAGCACCTCGTGGGTATAGTGTGACAATATACAGCGAATCATACATAATTCTAGGTAAATTATAACGACCTCACTGTTCTCCCGAACCCTGGAATCATGGTTAATAAGGGAAATCATCCCCAAATGGCCGAACTATTCAGGTTAGTGAAATATGATAATTTACCCAATTATATATATATATACAGTTGTAGTTCGCAGCTGGTAGAGGCATCTGGTTGTGGATGTCCTGTTCCCATCTTTTGGGATGATCAGTGTTGGCAGGCTTGGATCTCCACTTCCATATGATTGCCATACACAGTTTCTCAGCAATCTAAGCTGGTACCCTCTGGTAAATTAACATAGCTATTGAAAATTGCCATTTATAGTGGATTTTCCCATTAAAAATGGTGATTTTCCATAGTTACGTTAGTTTACCAGAGGGTAACTGGTCATCCTGAATCCTCTTCTGGATTCTTCTGGTGTGTGTTTTTTTTTGAGAATGGGTCAATACCAACAACTGAAACCCCGAAAACAGGGTTGACGAGCATCCCAACATACCTGTTCATTTGGGATGTTCACCCATGTATTATTAATATTATAGAGTTTGGACCCATTCCAACTTTAAAGGTCACAGAGTTTCTGAGGATATCCCTCGTGAAGCCTGATCCTTCGGTCTAAGGCGCCAGCGGAGGAATGGAGCGAAGAACCAGAGGATTGGGCGGAAGCACCCACCACCTTGCCGACAGATGATGAGGTGTTTTCGGTGGGGGCAGGATTTATCGAGATTTCATTGTCCCATACCATCCAGAAATTGGTTCTCTATAGCTACCGTTGGGTGATATTTGGGTAAATGTCGGTAGATATCCCACGATTTTCTCCATGATGCCGACGTTTCGCTGTGCCACCGGAGATGCGACCAGAACTGGGAAGCTACCAGGCTACTAGCACTAAAAGACAATCCAGTTTTTCATAAGGCTGTTATGTAGTTATACTCAGTATATGCAGTATATGTATGTAAAGAGTTTCAGAAGATTAGCTTCACAGATTTTTAGCAACTGGCAGCTGAGTGATACAAAGATTGGGGCAGAAGCAGGAATCGAAAACTCACAGTGTCCACACAGAGCTGAAGATTGCATTATTTGCTACCCCAGCAGTTGCAACTACTCAGTGATGCAGTGGGTGGTTGAGCCTTCAAAGCCCTCAATAAACCCTGAGCGCTGGTTGAATCACCACGATTTTCATAGCTCCCCTTCAACTTCGTAAATCATGAGGATATATGATATAAGACAACCAAGAACCAGACAGTTTAGTTTGGGGCTGTAATAAACCCCAACCATCATTGGGGGTTAGTCACCTGACCGACCTAAGAGGGCTTGGTTATACTTGGATCACCATGGATAACCATATGGGGTTTTCCTAAGTCATAGAGCTACCCCTAGTTATCATCCAATTTTTCATATGGGATTTTCCCTTCTTTTCACCATCCAGAAAATTGGGGATTTCCCATGTATGGAACCCCCCATAGATTCGCAGCCGCAGGCTTTGGGGCCCCCTCCGGGCCTGGAGGAGGTGCTGGGCAGCGCCCATTTGCAGCAGCACTTGGCCACAGCGCAGGCCCCGCGCTGCGGTGGTAGGGAGGATCATTTACCATGCAAAATGGGGATTTAACCATCAGAAATGAAGATTTGCAGATTTCACAGGATTTGACGAAGATCAGAAGACATCACAAGGGGTTTCCAACCTTCGAACCATGGATAAGTTTATATATGTATATTATATATATAATTAGGGTTTTTGCGTACTGTGGGTATTCAGAATACAACAACCATGGAACTGAACGAGGATAAATATGGGATAAATATGGGGATTGTGATTGATCAATGATGAGTTGATGAGTAATTACAGTGAGTCAACCCGCCACCTGGTTTAAACGGGGCTTGTGGGTCCACCATTGCCACGTGGATCCGACCCCGCCTTGCCGACGGTGCGGTTAGCGACATGGTCTCCCAGAGATTGCGACATGTCAATCTCCCAGATGCTGCACGTTTTGGACCATCTACCCTCTGGTTATGACTCACAGTTCGCCATGGAAGCCATCACCATGCTATTTTCAGTTCGGTAAACCATCTATTTCGATTAGGGCCATCTATACCATAGATTTAACAGTTTGCCATGGAAAATCACCATTTTTAAGTTCGGTAAACCATCTATAAATGCTCCATCTATACCATAGTTATGTTAGTTTACCAGGCCGGGTACATCTTATGATCCAAACAAAATTCCATCCGACTACTGGGAATCAGCCTTGTTGAGGGGAGTTGCAAAGAGTTTTTGACTACCAAGTTGTCCATTCAGCAGTTATGTCCCAGATATGCATATATTATATTATATATATTATAATATATATATATACACTTAGGACTTGTAGTTATATACTATAGGAAGATATATTATGTTGTTATGTTTGTTTACATTAACAAATGGATTCCAGGATGGATTCCAGGGATGACCCCAGGAATTTTCCTTGCGATCATTCATCCGAGTGGTCCATCCAGTCACCGAAGAATTGGACAAGTAATTTATAGACAATCCACAAAAAAAATGGAAGTTATAGCGAAAATGGACGTAAAAAATTATACCATTTATAGCATTAATATATCCTTTTTGGTAATTTTTTTGGTAAACGTGGCAAGTGGAGAATCCACGAAGTAAATGGAAGTTATAGCCTCTGGTTATGACTAACATAGCCATGGTATAGATGGTCCATTTATAGATGGTTTACCTGGGTTTACCTATTAAAAATGGTGGATCTTTCCATGGCGAACTGTGAGTCATAACCAGAGGGTAGCTGGGAAGTGAGTTTGATGACCGGAGGGGACCATCCAGAAGTGGCCTTTGTTCAAGCGGCAGGGTTGATGATGAGCTGATTAGCTTAGGGGTTATACTACGGTTATACATGGTTATACTATCTAATAATATCTGGGTATCATCACAATCTAGGAAATTACATGGTTTTTTCCTATCTAATACATTGGGTATCATCACAATACATTGGAAATGGCAATCCCTATCATACTATCCACAAAAGCAGGACATAAGGGAATAGTCAATAGCTAGGGCGTTGCTTTGCTGGATGGATATAACTCTATAACTATGATTGGGTGCATCATGATACCTTACTTTGTGGTGGAGTTTCACTGAACAAGTGGGTATATAGTCATAGTCAAAAGATTTCAAAAGGGGTTATATCCCAGTTTCTTTCTGTTGTAATGGTTCTACGATAGTTCTACATACATATCCTTTTAAACACACCTTTCTGATCCTTTCTGTATATATATATATGACCACAAAATCACCCCCCACTACCTATTGACTATGCCCAACGACACAACGCAGGAGTGGTGCAAACGAGAAGGTCACAGCACTTTAGAGGAGGTCCTTGACTTCTTGGACGACTTCGCCGAAGCCCTAGGGTCCCTTGGTAGATACGAAAGTCACCACTTGAGCCATGACAGTTATACGAATCATACGATGGGTTTGAAAACAAGGGGGGGTTATATGACCAACTAGCCAGTTATTAGCTGGTTTATTGATATTCATTGATTGGGGAGTTTTTGAAATACAAGGGATAGCTATTGACCAAGCAATATGAGGATTTCCACAAATGGGGGATACCCTAAAATGGTTGGTTTACAATGGAAAATCCTATTAAAATGGATGATTAAAGGGTACCCCTCATTTCAGGAAACCTCCATATGTATATATATATAGTGTTCCCTAGCAAAGACATGTACTTGAATTAGGTAGACACAAGGGATACTGGATACAGGACTGTGATGTTTAAAACCCATAAAATTAGCCCTTTCGTTCCCTTGAATCATTTTAAATCACAAAGCCGGTAGGGTTTATGGCTTTGTTTCAATTCGATATGGTGACTTTCATCCTATCAGGTTACGAAAGGGAAAAAACCAACAGACTTGTAGGGTGGGTGCATGTCCGCTACCGAAGCAGATACTCCACCCCCCAACCACCCCCTACCGAACCTGCGTGAAATCTCGGCAAAGCTTAGATTTGCTGTCCGAATCCCAATTTTTTCGTTGATTGGCAACATGTCTCTGATGAGAAATCATGGTGAAGTAATTACATCAAGTCGAACATTCCAAATGAACATCAAATGAACACACATTTCCCAGTTGTTTGGGGTGAAATATTTCCCAAATGGTGATTTTTTATGGGGATATGATGGAATGTTTTCCAAAATATTTCCCATAAAACATCCCATATTATCCCCATAAAACATCCCATACCCTCTGGTAAACTAACGTAACTATGGAAAGATCCACCATTTGTTGATGGGAAAACTCACTATTTTTCTGGCCATTTTCAATAGCTTTTTGTATGTTTACCAAGGGGTAATATCCCCATGAACACTTATTTCTGCCACGTTTGAGAGACCGTCCCCCCGTTGTCGATGGCTGTCGCCGGCCAGGCTGAAGCTCTTGGAAAAGAGGCCAGGCCAAGCGTTGACAGAAAGCGCTGGAGACTCACTGGATCCATGGGGGAAAGCTGAGATATCATATGATACCCGGCCTGGTAAACATACAAAAAGCTATTGAAAATAACCATTTGTAGTAGATTTGCCCATCAAAAATGGTGATTTTCCATAGTTATGTTGCCCTGATTGGTGGTTTGGAACATGGCTTTTATTTTTCCATTCAGTTAGGAATAGTAACCCCAACTGACTTTCATATTTTTCAGAGGGGTAGGTCAACCACCAACCAGTTATGATAATGATTATGATAATGATTATGATACCCTCCAGTAAATTAACATGAAATGATTGTGATATGAAATATGAATACCTACTATGATAATGAATAATGATTATGATACCCTCTGGTAATTTGTTACATAGCTATTGAACTTGGCCATAAAAATAGTGAGTTTTCCCATGAACAATGGTGTTTTTTGTTTTTTTTTTTAATAGTTATGTTAGTTTACCAGAGGGTATGTATGATCATGATTATGACAATGATTATGATAAGATCATTGGATCATTATGATTATGATTATTATTGATATGAATAACATCCATGAACATTTATCATGATGATCCAGTGATACGTAATGATAATGATTATGATTTCCACCATACCCATCAACACTTATCATAAATGATATCCATGATCTCATAATCCTCCAATGTGATAAACCATTCAGAGACCCATTGATGATGATGATCTCCTGGGAAATCATCAGGAATGGATCCATCTTTAGAGATTGAAATCTGGCTTTGGCTTTGGCCATGGGTCCAGAATGGTCCAGACCTGAAAAACTGCCGAACTTAAGGAAAACAACAGCGACTGAAGCCGAATGTGGAATGTGGAGCTCTCCAGAAAATTCTTGGGGGCTTGGTTCATTTCTAAGCACAGCCCAATGTGGGGATATCAACAGGAGATCTGTGCGGATTTTTGGTGTGTGTATATATAATTATATAACATAATATATTCTATATATATATACAATATAATATATAATATATATAATATATAATATATAATATATATAATATATAATATATAATATATAATATATATAATATATAATATATATAATATATAATATATATAATATATATAAGTATACATATTGTTTCAGAAGTATACAACCTATATCATCTATATGGACATATAAAATCAGGGTGTACAATCTACACGGCACAGAGCTGACTGTTAGGTGTATATCAAGGATCTAACAGCATCGAGGTCCGAGTAAATTCCGGTGGCACGTTTCCTTTCTATCGTTTTGGGGGTTGCTAATTATATATATATATATGAATAAATAGATATACAACCATATAGAATATATACATAAGATAATGTTTCATTTGTAAAAGTGTCCTTTCCTGTACTTATGGTTTGTTTCCCTTCTTCAATGCAGTGAATTTGACAATTTCACCAGCCATCTCTTGGGGGAAATACTTCTCGTCTCGGCATACCCAATGATCATTGATGGCTTCCACTGGCTTCCACCATCGGCTGGCCGGTTGCCAGTGACTGAATGACGCCTTGGTCTTTGTTGCCTTCTCAAGGGGATTCAACCAACCCCACAGCGGACCCCACAAAAAAGTGCTTGTTGGTGGTTAATAAGCCCTTCATAAAGCTATGATAAACCCTTAATAATTAACCCAAATAAATCCATGTAAACCTGTATAAACCCATATAAATCTATATAAACCCGTATAAACCCTTATTCTTGGGGGGTCAACTAGCTCTCCCTGGTAGGCGGCTCTTGACCAAGCTGCAAAACGCGCAGAGCGCTGCGCCGGTGGCCAAAGCACCTGCGGCAGCGGCGGAGGCAACGATGGTGGCTGGATAGTCTTGGATATGTCAGGTGAAAGTTGGCAAATTTGGGGTAAAACCAATCAGATGCGAAGATTTAGGATGATTTAGGTATGAAAAATAGGATTCAAAAACTGGTTGAATGGTAGTTGGGGAGTTTAAACATGTTTCTTCTTGCCCCCCTTCAGGAGAGGAATGTTTTATACCAAGCTAGTTTGCAGGGTTTTGGGGGAGATTTCCCCTTATTTGTTCGGATATGTTTTTTTGGCTTTCATAGTTCATACACATCATACACTAAGAATAATATGTGGGTTTTCATAGTTTTCATAGACTAAGAATATCCAAGAAAAATTATGAACAAGTGTATAATATACAGAAAAAAAAGAAGACACATCACTATTAAGATCTTTCAGAAATGTTGAGTTTTCCAGTTTTTCACCATTTCTACCACGTCTTTCAGCTTTTTTGATACAGCGAGGCGCGTTGGAGACGGCCAGGCCTCCGTTGTTTCGGCCATGGCCGAGCTCCTGGAGACGGCCAAGCTGCAGCGATGCCAGGACCAGGCCGTGGCGTGGTGTCAAAGGACCAGGCTGTCGAGCTTGGCGCAGGCGGGGCGCGGCTGGATTTTGGAGACAAAATCTGTGTACAAATAGGTCAATAGGTATTGTGTATATATATATATATTATTTTGTTATACAACATATTATATATATATACTTTGTGTACATATATATATATATAATATGTTGTATAACAAAATAATATATATAGTATATATACATACTTACATGCATGGATAAGATTCATTTGTGGCTACGGTCATGAGCTCCTGCTGGTCACGATCAACAGCTGGTTGCGGGACCCATAGTTATTTCGTTTAGATTTCCAGATTTCGATCAATGGGAAATCTTCAGGACCCAACAGATGGAGCTACGTAAACGTACCATATTGTTGGCCATATGAATTCTGGGGATATTCCCTGAAATTTAGGCCTGAAAAATAGGCCAAAAATATATGGGATTGGTACCTCCAATTGAAAATTCGGTTCCTGTTGCATGGCCATTGATTCGATCTACAGAAGTGGAGAACAACTTGGGTCGTTCCCATTGTGTGCTGCTGATGGAACCTTTGTGGGTCTCACTTCAATGAATGGCCATTTCAGGATCCTAGATTGGAGGTACCAATCCCATATACAAGGCCTATTTATCAGGCCTAAATTTCAGGGAATATCCCCAGAAATATGGTACAGTACCTCCATTTTAGGATCTTGAAATTCCCATTGATCCAATGAAAAAAGCTTTGGCCAATTGAGAGAAACCACAAGCGATGCAAAGCGCCAGCGTCTGCAATATTCTTCACAGATTCAGGGTATGCATCAATTTTGAGCCGCCTCAGTTGATTTTTTCCATTGGTGGAAAAAACAGTAATATATAACAATATATAACAATAATAATAACAATAATAATAATATATATATATATATATATTTATACAGGTGGTCTAAACAAATGATGTATAAATACAATACTATATAATATGTATATACATTTTTCGTATCAAACATGATACCGGTACGATATTCTACCATTTTTCCGTTCTTCGGATGGGAGAATGGTCCCAATTGAATTCATTTTGTTTTTCTCTGATAAACATGATGGCCATTAATGTTCATCCGAATAACCAACATCATAAGGAGGTTACACAACTGGATGTGTGTGCCCATGGCTGTGCTTATAAGCTACTTACATATGCTGACTAGGGCACAGTGTATTATTTAAAATTATTTAAGGGATACAATGTGGGCCCCCAAACGATAGCTAAGTTGGTTGAACTAACTTCAATATCTATTGTTTATGATACACATTTGACTACAGTATTCATGGATATTTATGGGGTTTATGCATCAACTTTAGCTATCTAGAAAAGCCCACATTGTATGGTTTGATGGTTTGTTTTTTGTTTGGTTTGCTACTTTAAAAGCATCCATCGACTACTACAGTAGGAGGTTGTGCAACCATGAGGAACTACGCCCATTTCTGGTCACGTTTGGGGCTACGCAACTTGGGGCATTAAGACTTGGGGTTCAACATATCGGGAAAATGTTTATGTAACAATATTTTAGCCAGTGTTCATCGTTTTGCATCATCTTTCCATTATTCTTTCCATCCTTTTTTTCACCAAAAATTGGCCACGCTGTCGGTGGCAGATTCCCATGTCAGGTGGCTGGTCAGCAGGATGCCTTTTTGGCTGAGCTGCAGCTGAAGCCCATCGAAGAGAAGCGCCTTCGCAAGCTGCTGCAGGCTCCTTGAAGAACATCTGACCAGCGTCAAGTTGCGTTAAGTTGTCTATAACCCCAATCCTGCAGCCCAGTAATCTCGCTTCGTACTGACGGTCCTAAGTGGGGAACCATCGGGAACACATCCGATGCTCTGTGGCGCAGGAGCATGCCGGTGAGGAACCCCCTGCGCAAGGAACGCTGGCGCCGGGGCTGGTGGCGGCAAGGATTGAGGAGCTCTTCAAGGAGGCACAAGGGGTGGAGATTCTGTTTTTATCAACACATCCCATGAATCCAAAAGTTTGCCCTGGGATTTTTCCAAAATTTCCATTGGTTGGATCCACATTTTGTTGGTTAAGAAACCCTGACTGTTGTTGGTTCAGACTTTATTGATGGCTTAAATTCATTAGAGGATATGCCCCTGTACCGTATTAGACCCCAACATGAGAAGTAATCAGAGTGTGTTGGTCATGTCTTGCTTGGTTAGGTCTTGATGCAAAAAACGGTACCACACAAAAAGCATCTTCTACTTTTCATAAACAATGGATGAATGATGGTTTGCAAGGCACCAAACTGACCCAAATCATCCCATACATACCATCCGTTGTTTCCCAAACATTGACATCTAAGCTGTTTCGCGCCCTCCCCGCCCAGGTAAAACTGACTCAGTCTGATGAGACCACCGCCTGGTGTTCCCAGATTCTTGGCAGCGACAAACGCGCTGGAGATCAGCTGACCCCCGTTTTTTGGGATGGCCCAGGAGAAGCTCTCCGAATATCGTGAATAGTCTCAGCATAGACAAGGTGTCACCAAGTGTTTAGTGGAAGTGTGTCTGAAACTAGGTCAATCTTACATGGATACTTTAATCCTTTAGTCTTTTGGTATTATGGGAATATCGACTAAGCAGTAAAGAATTTATTGTTTTTGCAGGGTATCTAAGATTGGGAATGGAAAAACCTCCATCTATTTTTGGTGCTAAAATCGCGGACTTATAGCAATTTCACCACAGAGCCATTTGACCATTTTTGCTGGCTCAGTATCCCACATTTGTAGGAATGTGGTAAACTCAAGTCATAAACAACTACCATTATACACTTACTTGAGCCATGAAAATAGTGATGACTTGGGGGGTTGTTTATTGGCATGACCACATAAATCATGGTTAATTGTGGTTGATCATGCTTTATATGCAGTAGATAGCTGCTTACGGACCGGGAGCCGGCCAAGCAATGACGTTTGGCTTATGATGTGGGAAGATTGGGCCGAGATTCTCCGCGCAAACCGAGGGAGGGCTACATATGTTGAACTGAGGTGGCATAATGCGCAGTGCTTGCCTGTATGGAAGCAGTCTGGGCCTATGTTGAGCGCAGGTTGTGCCCATGTTGCGCCAAGTCCCGCCCATTTTGAGCCATCTTGGGCCCATCTTGGGCTTATGTTGGGCCAAGTCGGGCCCATGTTGGGCCCATCTTGGGCCTATGTTGGGCCTATGTTGGGCCCATGTTGGCCTATGTTGGACCTATGTTGGCCCATGTTGAGCCCTCTTGGGAGCTATGTTGAGGCCATGTTTGGGCCATCTATGTTGAAACGATCTTAAGATGCAATTTTTTCCGCCCCGGGCCCCCTCCTGGAGCCCAAAACCACGTAAAAACCAATGTTAAAAAACATCGCCAAGATGAAATCCCTTGCCGCCGAAGGGCCCGAAACACTGTAAAAAACGATGTTTTTTAACACCGCTTCAGTCCCTCGGGAGTAGTCCCGGGGTGAACCGGGGGTGGGCCGGCGGCAGGGCCCTACCGAAGGCCTCCGGCAAGGACACGGGCTGGCCCGTTGGCCGGCGCCCGGATTAATCATCATAATGCTACACCCGCTGCCGCCGACCCCATAGGCTGGGGATGGATGATTTTGTCGCACCTGCGGCCTCCAGCTGGGCGTGCCTAACGTCGCTTTCTGAAGTGAAAAGAACTAGCTGACACTGAAACACGATGGCAGTGAAGGATGGATGGCGCCTGCGGCCTGCAGCTAGCCGTGCCTAACGTAGCATTGTGAAGCCACAAGAAACTAGCTCCAACATGATTGCCCAGGCTTCCAAAACGGACCCCATCGCCACATTGAAACACCATGGCAGTGAAGGACGGATGGCGCCTGCGGAGCAGCTGCTTAACGTCGCTTTCTGAAGCCACAAGAAACTAGCTCCAAAATGACTGCCCAAGCTTCCAAAATGGACCGCCTCGCCACACTGAAGCACAATGGCAGTGAAGGACGGATGGTGCCTGCGGCCTGCAGCTGAAGCGACAAGAAACTAGCTCCAAAATGATTGCCCAAGCTTCCAAAACGGACCCCCTCACCCCACTGAAACACCATGGCAGTGAAGGACGGATGGCGCCTGCGGCCTGCAGCTGGTCGTGCCTGTAACTTTCTCAAGCGACAAGAAGCTGGCTCCAAAATGCCATGACTGCCACACTGAAACATGGCGCCTGCGGGCTGCAGCTGGTTGTGCCTAACGTCGCTTTTCTGAAGCCACAAGAAACTGGCTCCAAAATGACTGCCCAGGCTTCCAAAACGGACCTCGTCGCCACACTGATAGCTTCTGATTTACCAGTATTAACCATTATGAATCAACCATGATTCTTTATAGCCGCTATAGGTAGGTCCGGTTGGTCATCCCCACGTCTAAGGCAAGGCATCGGCACCCTGTCGGAGCTCCTGGGACGCCTCGACGACCTGGCCGCGCATCTGGCCCTGAAGCCGCTGGAGACGAAACGTCTTCGCAAGGTGCGAAGTGGGAAGTGGGAGATGTTGGGATGGATCATCCCACATTAGGGTGGAAAATATGGTTTTATTGGTTTATAATATGATGATTTAATATGAACAATATGGAAAACTACTGGTTAATAGGGAATGATATGGAATGATATGGGAATGATGGGGTTGGAGGATCATCCCTCTGGTTGAAAAATATGGGAATATATCGGAAACATGGTTTTGGCAGTTTGTTTAAGTTTTTGGTTGCCATCGACCTGATCTGTTTTCGTCATTGGACGCATAGATCTTCAAGTTGGCATGGGATGTTGCTGCCGCCGCATTCGTTTAATCTCTCCGAAGAACAAAAGGTTACCTGTAAGTCACTTTACGTTCATTATTCGAAAAGAATTGGACGATTCCAGTCTTTTCGGGTTGGTTACATCCACTGGAAATTATATTATAGTTTGATCCCTGTGAATAGTTTCAGGCCTTGTTTTGGTGTTTTGGTCCCCCTTTGAAACTCTGTGAGTGTAGTAACCCTCAACAAAAATACCCAACCAACATCCTCCTAGAAATGATGGTAAGTTGCCTTTCAAATATATGGGTATATTATGTATGTGTGTGTGATGTTCCGTAGATATTCCCTATAGATCTCTGTTGTTTCCCAAATCCAAAAGATAGAAACCTTTGCCACCGCCTCAGGCCCTTGACGCGGCGGCAGCGCAGGAACCCCCTGCACCAGCAGCCGCACCTGCGCCTGTGGCAGCGGCAGCGCCGGCAGCGGTGGCAGCAGAGAGCAAGGTGCTCCAAGTGATGGGTGACCAAATACCATCTGGTAAACTAACAGTTTGCTATATGGAAAATCACCATTCAAATAGATAAATAAACGAGACGATTTCTATGGGCCATGTTCTATGGCTACGTTAGTTTACGAAAGGATGGTTATTTCTATGTTTGGATTTATTTTACGAATGATTCCATTTGTTTAAAGTTTAAAGGGAACCTTGTTGGACATGTTGGATGCATCATCACACCTCCCTCTTTAAATAACCATTTCTGGGTAATAATCTCAGCTCTGAAAAGTGCCTGGTATGCCCAACAAAAATCAGGTCACTTGTGCCTTCCTGGTCAGCTGTCAGGAGGAAGTCAACCGGCTGCGAGAGGAATTGCGACTTGGAGGAGATACAGGATGGGGCCCCCAGTCGATAGCGTGAACCGTTGGTTTCTAAGTGGCTGAATTCAATGGTTTATGGTAAATATATGTAGATATAACTATAGACTATAGTCTGTTAATGGGGATTATCATGGTTTATAAACCAACTAACATCACTGGGGGGCCCCATCCTGTATGGGGTGCCACAGTTTTTTTTTTTCGACTGTGGCACGCTTGGAGGATCATCCGATCATCCCTCTTAGGAACCAATATTGCTAGCTATGGTTAGGAAGTCCCCTTTGGGCTGGGTTATCCCATGAATATCCCATCTATAAATGGGTGAACTAGCTATGATGATCAACCACTGATGATAAAAAAATGGTGATCCTCCAGGCCTTTTTCCTTGATTCTACAGGCTGCCAAACTCCTGTTGCTTGGGGATAACAATAGGACCAGAGAAGAGACACGTTCTGAAAAAATGGGGTTCTGGAAACCAGCAAATACACCTCAGAGATTGAAAATGGAACTTGAAATTGGAGGCCGTAAATCGTAACGATGATTTATTTTGGTGGAATTTGCCATTCATGGATCCCAAGGCACAGTTCACAGAATTTAATTGAGCTATATTGAGCTAGGTATCAAGTAATTTCCAACCAGCTTTCACTGCAAAAACATATTCGTTGGGCGTTGTCGGATGTGAAACTGTTCTAGAGTCGGATGATGAGATCATTGAACATTTTTGAACCATAAAACATCATTGACATAAAACCACTTTTTTTTCGGGTCGACGCCAGGGGGGTGGTTCCCGATGCTCAGATTCTCCCAATCCAGATTGAGCTTCGAACATCTAACATCTTATAATCTTATATCATTATTATATCATTATATATTATATCACTAAATTTCCATTAATCCCCATTAATCCCCAATTAATGATATAATAATAATATATCTCTTATCCCCATTAATCTCAATTATTTATGGGTATAGGTAGGTATATCCCCATTGCGTCCTCCGCCAGAATTTGGATTCTTTGAGGGAAGCGCTCCAGAAGAAGCTGCTGTCGGCCTCGGAAGAAGCTGAAGAGTTGAGACACTCCAAATCTGAGGTTGGAGACTCTGCCGGTTTGGGGAAAACCCTGCAATTTTCTACTGGTTGGTGGTTTCAAACATTTTTTGTTTTCCATAATATATGGGATAATCCTTCCCATTGACTAATATTTTTCAGAGGGGTTGAAACCACCAACCAGTCTAGGTCAATCCTAGATGGGTACTTTAATCCTAACTAGTCTTTTGGTATCAATGGGAATATCTAAGTTCACCAGCAAAGAATTTTCAATTTTTTGCAGGGCATCTTTCAGATTGGCAATGTTTTCTTCAACTGCGGGACCCGGCTTCGCCGGAATGGCGATATCATTGGGGATATGAGTGGTGCATTTTTTACATGGGATGAACAATAGAGATCTTGGGAAATGGGGGTTGATATTTCGGTGGGGGACCTTTTTCAAGCCAGTGGTTTTCCCGTTGATCAACTTTTGATGATTTTGCACATGGGGGTGGATTTCATGGTACTTGTGCGCCCCAGGAATTGTAAGTGGTTTAGAACCTTTGAAACCCAAACAAAACTGGGGGAATATAGCACAGGATCACTGTCCTGGGATGCGGGTACTGGGCACCTAGGACATCTGGGCATAAGGAAAAAACATTTGATCACGTTGTTCATTGCATACTTGGGGATAAAGGGGTTGTAAACGGATGACCGGTTTGTTGACCTATATGTAGTGGGGTTTGCAATCCAATTTATAAATATTGGGGGTGCAGTTGGGATGACTTTTATAATATCTATAACCATGATGACCACCACAAGTTGGGATATAACCCCTGTAACTATTGCGACTACCCACTGGAATTGCAACTGGACCGTGGCTATTTGGATGGGCATGGGATGCCAGCAGGTTGAGTGGCTCAATTCCCGATGCCTCGGAACCCAAAAAGTTGCAAAAGTACATCACCATCACAACAGTGGTGATTTGATTGATGCTTGATAGGGATCAATCATGTCTCTCTTGTTTTTTGGCAACCTGCCAAACGTAATTTGATAATTAATAAACCATCCCCGGCATCACCATTTTTATGGGTGATAAAGACCATCCCCAAATGGATGCATGGTAGGTTTATCTTATTTGGTTTCAAAGGTGAACCCTTTAAAGCTGACCCCATGGCCCATCCAGCGCAGGTCTCCAGTCTTGCAGCTCGTCTCAGCGAAATGCAGAGCGAGAGCGGCGAGAGCGCGGCGCAGAGTGCGGCGGAGGCGGCAGCGGAGGTGCGCGGGCTTCATTGGATTTTTACTCCCCAACCCTTGGGCCCTTGGGGCGTGTACACCCCCTCAAAATATATCAACATATACATTTCGCGGTCTCGGAATTCATTTTATACAAAATGTCTGTTTGGGTCACTCGGAGGTATACCAAAACATGTCTCCTCCATGTCTCCCCGCGGTCGTACATTTTAGGGGCTTAACCGCTTGGGTTCTGTGGGTACCCCTGGAATCCACATGGATCCCCAGGGTGGACGGTCGAAAAAAATGCCATTGTGCGCTCCAAATAAACAAAAGATCTTCAAGCTGCATCGGATAAAAACAGGTGAGAAACCTGCAGTGTGAAGACACCACGTGTTGTCCTTCTCACGTGGTGCTCCCGAAAAAGGCCAAACATTTTGGCATTAACTTTAAGGACACTGTCCCCCTAGTTTAGATACATTATCAAACATGTAGTATTGGGAGGGGGGGATGCATAAAGTAGTTTGGGAGGGTGATGATTTTCATATTATGTTTTTGATGGGCTTTAACCAGCAGAAATTGGTGATTGAACCACCAAATACTGGGAATATAGGTTTTGATAGATCGCCAAATATTTATAATTATATATATACATATGTGTGCCATGGCCAAAACTTATATACATTTATATACCTATATTGGGGGATGGTCATCAATCCATCAATAGGGATTTACATTAATTACCTTATTGTAAGGAATCCTAATGATAGGATGACCATAACTCATACACAATCTTTTGACCATGACATACTTTGTTAATCTTTGTTAGTTTCGGATGCTTACATCATATTAAAGCCATGTATTGTTCTAATGCACCATCTTGATGGTTTTTGTGCTGTTTGGTGGACGTGAAAACAATAAAAATCCGGTGATTTCGAAGCTCAAAACAGCGCCGTTGAAATGGTTACATATTCAATAGGAAGGTTTTTGGACACACCCACATACTGTACTATGTATATTACTTATGTCATTTTGTGGTCACTGCTTTTCCACTGAGTCAGGAATGTTTACTAAACATGCCAGCTCATCTCATTTGCATCGTATGTGCATCGGTGTATCAATCACCAGACATGAATCTGGGTACCCTCTGGTGAACTAACATAGCAATGGAAAATCACCATTTTCGATGGGAAAATCCACTATAAATAGCCATTTTCCATTGCTATGTTAGTTCACCAGAGGGTAATTCATAAAACCACCTCCATAGACAAGCCCCAGAAATGCTGTTCAACAGGGACGCCATCAATTCAACGGCCTCCAATTTGGTTTGGAATGTATGTCATTTTCTCATGATGCCCTTGGTCTCCTCAACATTACTTGTTCATTTACTGTTCAGTTCCTTGCGTTGGGGAAACTCACCAACGAAAACACATAGTCTAAGTTAAGAATTCATACATACATAGTACACTATGTATATACATATATTTAAATATATATATATACACATATATCCACTACATTCAAATAACATTTATGTTTGGTGAAGTTCATTCTAGATCACCTTGGTAAAAAGAGAGAGAAATCCATTAAACCAACGATCCATCGCCGAGCTCCAGGCCAGAAAATTGGCTGCGGCCCAGGTTGGAACGGCTCGGGGACGAGATGTTAAAAAATCCTCCAACGGCATAACGGCACCGGTGATTTTCATGTCGTGGCCAAGCAACATTCAAAGATACACTGGTTGGTGGTTTCAAACATGGCTATTATTTTCCATAATATACGGGATAATCCTTATAATGTCATAATTATTAATTATTTTCGTGTCATAATGGGGATATGAATGGAATATGAATGGAATCTCTATATATGAATATCTATGAATATGAATGGAATATGGTAAATTTTACTACTTGTAACTATCTGGTTGGTGGTTTGGAACATGAATTTTATTACTTCCCCAATAGCTGGGATGATGATCCAATCTGACGAACTCATATTTTTCAGAGGGACTGAAACCACCAACTAGTACATCTGATATAGTCCAAGGCCAATCATCAACTAGCTTTTTATATCTATATCTTTATATTCTTTATGAATGGATAGTACGGATCATAAAAAAATCGGGGAATGCGTGGACAATGCGATCATTCTTGGACAGTGGACAATGACGACAGTGGACGACCATCCCCTTTTTTGGTCGATGGGATGGTGAAGTGTAGCCATGGCACCCATACAGGATGAGAAACAGCGCTATGGGACCGAACGGGTGATAAAACATGCAGTAGCTACCTTCTGGTAATCAACGTGACCGTGCAGTCGAACAAACATGAGCGAAAAGAAGTACCAAACAGGTCTATGTAGGCATTCAAGCGATACATATTTGCTTTGATGTCCGGTTCCGAGGCGTGCTTTATCCAAGAATTTCATTTGCACTTTCTGAGATAGCACTGTATCTTGCAGTACAAACGTACAAACGTAATAGAAGCTACAGTGATAATTTGATAATTGATCCTCACCCAATTCGCACAGTGAGTGCCGTATTCCCCAGCCCTGAGCGCGAAGCCATCACGACCCTTTCGCAAGCTTCACTTCGCAGCGCCAGGAAAGCCTCCAGAGTGCCGAATCCCAAGTGGAACTACTCCAGAAGAGCCTGGAGGTGCCCGGATTTTGAGGTACCTTGTGGATCCCTCTGGTAAACTACACTGTGGAAAATCACCATTTTGAAAGGTTTTATCATCCAACTATAAATGGTCCATAAGGTAGCTATGTGAGTTTACTGGAGGGTAATCCTTTTAGCTGTTTTCAAAGGAGAATCTTCCCTTGAAAGATGGGAAATCCTTTCTGATTCTGGCAATGGCAATCCTTGCGAATGCCATCTCTACATGTCATGAAATGGTAATGTATATGTCATCATGGTATGTATCCAATTGTATGTGTATATATAATATATTGTACACATAGCAAATGTATGATTTATGTCTGTATGAATATTGTATATATATATATATATACGTGTGTATATATATATATGTATAGATGATAGTGTCAAGTATCCATACCATAGCTGCCATAGCTGGCACTGGCAATGTTATTTTCCTTTATCACTATATATATATATATATCACTGTATATACAATGACCATATTATGGTATCATATGGTATCATTTTTTTGACCGGTGGCCAGGTCATATAGGTCAACACACAAAATCTGAAAAAAAAGACCACCTCATGTGGTCATGTCCATTTAACCACGATCCCAGAATTGGTAAAAACGACATGGTTTCCGATGATTATTTTTTGAATCATTTACCCTTAGATCCCTACGAATGGATTGATGACATATCGATCCAACCACTTCCCGAGAAAGTGACACCGAAAAAACAACAGTAATGTCACAGCCAAAACCCTTCCTCAGTATATGGATCCATGTTCCAACTGATTTGCAGCAAAAACATGTAAAAACTAGTGTGTCAACTTGAGATTTTCCATGATTTTCCAGATCTGACCATTTCTATGACCAGCCTGGTATTCTGGTCGCTTCGCGACGACAACCGCCCACACCGGAGTGTTAGCTCCGAAGTTCCAATAAAACCATGTCATGTTCTACGTTGGGCCTTTGTACGGCTCATGTTGGGGGTTGGGAACATACCATGTTGGCTCTATGTTTCGCCCTGTTGGGCCCATGTTGCGCCATGTTGGGGCTATGTTGCGCCCATGTTGGGCCTATAAAGGTCCTCCCCAGCTGAAACTGGGCAGCGCAGGAGCAGTCCCAGAGCGAGGCGACTGAAGCAGCCTCGGCAGAGGAGAAGCTACGATCCGAAAGGGCAGAGGTGTGGTGGCAGAGGGACTCCACCCATCGAAAAGTTGGGTCAGAAATATTTCATCGGATAACTATTGACCATTAACAACCATTAACCATTAATAACCATTAATTAACCATCATTAGCCATTAATAACTATTAACCATGAATAACCATTAATCAATTTGAATCTTCAGGCTTACTGTCAAATAATGATAGCATGTCATCTTGTTCCGTGGATTTGCTGATTGATAAATTGCCAGTGGAAAAAACACCAGGAGCCAAAAAAGTGGAACCCTGCGACGTCACTGTAATTGATGGGAATTGTACGGGTAAGTATCCCCAAAATTCCACAAATTGCCGAAGTGGATAGTGAATCATTATGGTTTATCTTAGTCTTCATGTATATTTTCATACATCCAGGTTTGTTCAAAGGAAGACTGGGATTTGAAGCAAGCCTGGCGCCAAGAAAGTTGTGTTTCAACCAAGAAGATCGGGAGACCTGAGGCCGGCGCAAAACCGCAAAACCGCCGAGTCATAACCCAGCTGCCAAGCTACCACGTGTTTGTTTGATTTCCCACTGTTCCGTTTGATGAAATGAGAGAGGTTAAGAATAGTTCACCAACACTATGCATGGTTGTAGTTCTGGAAAATGATGTATTTCACAGGTCAATCTCTACGAAAAAAATGTTCTTCATGAGTTCTTCGGCCAGCATCCGTTGTGCCTCCGGTACAGTGGCATTAAATGACATGGACCAGCTGGGCATCGCTGGAGGTGATTAATAAACCCCGTTTACGTCTGTTGAATTGGGAGGGTACCATGATTAAGTATCATATGAAATATTGGGGGAATACCCCCTAAATATCCCTAAATAATAATCCATGGTTTATTAATTCGGGGTTGACGTTAATGTCAATAGACACCTCAGTGGGGCTCTGCCAACTCTGCCAAGCTCCGGGAGGTCATAATAACTGGTTGGTGGTTTGGAACATGGCTTTTATTTTTCGATATATTGGGAAAAATCATCCCAACTGATTCATATTATTCAGAGGGGTAGGCGAAAAACCACCAACCAGATAAGATATAATAAGCAAATCCAATCAGTAAACTCAGTAAACCCTGATGAACCCTTATGTGGGATCCGTAGTGAAGCCATCTCAATTGCTCATACTGGTTGGTGGTTTCAAACATGAATTTCATTTTCCATTTCACATATGGGTTGTCATTCGGAACCCATTGACGAACTCCATCATTTTTCAAGATGGTTAAAACATGTTAAAACCACCAACCAGTATATCTCCCAATTAACCATCTATAGGGCCTATAGGCCCTATGCTATCCAGGCGGAGCGGCACCTGGAACGTGTGGAGCAACTCCAGGAGCTGGGGTGAACAAAAAACCAACCGGGGCGAAAAGTTCGCAAGATAGTAAACCATACCGTTTTACCATATGAAATATGATTATATAGATATGATATCAATGATTAATATGATCCAATTTATCATAATAGGTAATATTAAATATGATTAATCAAATATGATTCAATATTGTTGGTTTCCCTTGTTGCTTTAACTTTACTCACATGATAAGGATATATAAACAGATATTTGTGGGAATGCCAACTATTTTGCTGTGAGCTTTGATGGGTTTTGATGGGTTTTGACCCAGAGCCCATATGTTGAATTCTGTGTAAACAGGTTTGTTGGAGGCATAGGTTGATTATAGGTTGATTATGTTGAGTGACACACAAATTCACTGAGGATTATAAGTTGATTATAGGTTGATTATAGGTTGATTATAGGTTGATTATAGGTTGATTATAGGTTGATTATAGGTTGATTATAGGTTGATTGTAGGTTGATTATAGGTTGATTATAGGTTGATTATAGGTTGATTATAGGTTGATTATAGGTTGATTCTAGGTTGATTCTAGGTTGATTATAGGTTGATTATAGGTTGATTATAGGTTGATTATAGGTTGATTATAGGTTGATTATAGGTTGATTGTAGGTTGATTATAGGTTGATTATAGGTTGATTATAGGTTGATTATAGGTTGATTATAGGTTGATTATAGGTTGATTATAGGTTGATTATCGGTTGATTATCGGTTGATTATCGGTTGATTATCGGTTGATTATCGGTTGATTATAGGTTGATTATAGGTTGATTATAGGTTGATTATAGGTTGACTGTCGGTTGATTATCGGTTGATTATCGGTTGATTATCGGTTGATTATAGGTTGATTATAGGTTGATTATCGGTTGATTATAGGTTGATTATAGGTTGATTATAGGTTGATTATAGGTTGATTATAGGTTGATTCTAGGTTGATTCTAGGTTGATTATAGGTTGATTATAGGTTGATTATAGGTTGATTATAGGTTGATTATAGGTTGATTATAGGTTGATTATAGGTTGCTTATAGGTTGATTATGTTGATTAGGAGGGAGACTAGCTGGTGATCGACCAATGATCTCATCGTCGGGCACCGATTCGGGATCCAGTCACCCGAGATGAGCAACCTTCCCACTACCAGCTGAACATAGCTGGCATCTTTGCAGAGCAGATTGGTATACGTAGTACCCTCTGGTAAACTAACATAACTATGGAAAATCACCATTTTTAATGGGAAAACTCACTATAACTGGCCATTTTCAATAGCTATGTTAGTTTACCGAAGGGTATACGAGTCAGCTTCGCTCAATGCTCAGAAAACCAAAGGCATGTTGGCCAGAGTCGAAAGTTCCTGCGGTCAAGGCACCAGTCGAAAGACCTCCAGAATACGGTCATTCGAATTTCTGGCGCATTCGCCCAACTGTCCACGGCCAACAATCACGATTCAAATTAGGTAATGTATCCAGTCAATGGTTTTAAATGATTCGGTGGTGTAGGCAAAACATGGTAAACCATGGTAAACCTTCGATGTTTGGCTTTCAAAGTCAGGAGTCGTCATTTTGATATCAAATCAACAGGACTCCGCGGATTGGATTCGAAGAATTTCGAAACGATCAGCTCGTTTTTTTTGTTTCGCGGAGTTACGAACGCGCGCCCTTTGACCAGAATCTGTACACAGTTCCGTGTGCTACAAGTAAACCTGCATTCTGAAGACCTCTAAAATGAGTGAGAGGCCATGGTTCAGGATTGGATTCAAGACCACAACCCAGGGAATGTTGTTGAGCTGCGGCTCTCAACCAATATTCTATGGATTGTTTGGATGTGCACATGTTTAACAGTGTCAAAACCAAACAACCTCACAAGTTATTCAAGTTATGGATGCATGTTCCAGCATTTCATCTAGTCTGTTTAACGTTGTCATGTTTTCCCAGCGGCTTGGACTTTGACTCAGCTGATCCACGGAAGGAGGAGATGAAGACTTACGAGTCTGAAGTCGCGGAGGGTCGAAAGAGCATCGCAGAAATGAAGGCTTCGCGGCCGTTGATGGGAAACCCATGAGCAAGGGATGGTCATATAAAATTTCAACGGATGTTTAGATACACTTAGAATCACCTAGATACCAAGGATGATTCCAGATAGAGGTGGGAACTGGAAATGCTCTAACCAATTCTCAGGTGAATGACGGGAAAGTAACCACAAGGTGAAGACACCATGAAGAAATCAAGCAATCAAGGGAAAAATGAGTGACTGCAGGGATTCGCGCGCGTGCTTAGACGTCAGAAGACAATTATAGATACTGATTTCTGGCCACATTGACATACACATCATTGATGAACACTTTTTAAATTGCGTTTGGTTTGTGCACGCATGTACTGGATTGCAATAGTCTGTGCAGTACACATATTAGTACACACACTTATACACACTATATATTATATATGATGTTATACATATCATATTTTAAATTCCATACATAGAACATATAATAAATATATTAATTAATACACATATTGATGCATATAATTACACATGCATTCGTAGATGGAAAAAAAACACTGCGATCAGATCATCCCATGGCTTGTTTCCATCGCTTTCCACAGGAAGAATTTGCTTCGGAGATCCGGGATGCAGGAGATCTCCGGGATGGATGGGGTGCTCAAGTCTCATCCCATGGATTCCCAAGAGGATTCCCTGGGTTGGCTATGCTAACCACAATTATCGATGTTACCCTCTGGTAAACTAACATAGCTATTGGAAATGGCCATAGAAATAGTGAGTTTTCCCATTAATAGCATGGTGATTTTCCCATCAGTTATGTGAACGTTTACCAGAGGGTAACTTGATTAACTTAAGTGACATGAAATGTGACATGAATCACTTAAGTTTGATGAACAGAACTTCAGTCTGGTGGCTGCTTGTGTTTGAAAAATTACACATATGTCGATGATTGGATGGATTGTAGTCATCCACTCAGATGGGCAGACAAGGCAGACACCGAGAATGTCATATCATATCCCAGAATTCTTAACTTTTAGCAGGGCATCAACTAGCCACCAAATATCTAAATATATCATTTAACAGATGAGTAAATAGTAGTGAATTTGACACTTCTCAACCCGCCAATCACTTAAGATTTTGAGGCCACCACTGACGAATTCATGTTTTCAGGAGAAGCTCGCGAGAAGGAACAGCAGCAGGTGGAGCAGCTGACGGAAGACATGTCTCGCGCTCGTGCCGTGCATGCGGAAGAAATCGAGAGGCCAGAACCTGCTGGAGTGGGTGCCTGATATATGACCAAATAAATAAACGGTTCTGGAACCAACAGAAGAATGTGAATTAGACCAAGCAAGATTGAGTATAAGTATAATTTGGTTTACAAGCCCGACAAGCCCATGTGTAGATATCGCTATGGGTCAAGTCACACATGAATGCCCCCGGTGGTTTGCTCGGATGTTTATAACCCTGAAACAAGTAATATGATATGGAAAAAACAAAACAATTTCATAGTCACCATCCCGAACTCATCAGGATTTTTATATGTTTTTATCCTGTGGCAGCCATGCCTGAGATTCTCAATCGGATATCCTCGATCTGGGGAAATCTTAGGAAGTTTCTGTAAATCCTAGGTTTGGAACTAGTTCACATGGTTGGTGGTTTGGAACATTTTTTTCCATTCAGTTGGGAATAAGATATAATCCCAACTGACGAACTCCATCATTTTTCAGAGGGGTGGGTCAACCACCAACCAGGTTCACATGGTTCCAGTATCTCCAAATATCAATGCAGATCCAGGCTGAAGGTGATGCACAGCGAGTTGATGAACGAGAAAGAGTCGCTCGCACTTGGCGTGCGTCGTGGAGTCGTTTCGCCAAGGGTTTGCCGAAACAGCGGCGAAACATCGGAACTACATCAACGAGAATGAGAATATCCAGGATTACAAACGAAAATACCATGCTATATTATAGAGAATACCATTAACTATATAGTGGGAATTCCCATTGAAAATATCCCCATGACCATTATGCATGGTTTAAATACTGTTATACGTTTTCCACTGTTTCAATGGGGATTATATCAATCCTGTGGGAACCAACAAACCAACTGTTCTGAATCCGAATGGATTTCGAGCTCCCGAGTAGTTGACCATGCTTTGTTCTTTGTTACCCTCTGGTTATGTCAAAATAGCTATTGAAAATGACCATAGAAATAGTGGATTTGCCCATTAAACATGGTGATTTTCCATAGTTATGTTAGTTTACCAGAGGGTAACATTCCTTTATGAACGATTTGCTCTTCCGCTGAACTGGGGGAAGAGGTAGGAAAGCATTCACCAAGCAAACCTCGGTGACCCCTCTGAGAACGACGGTAACCATAGTGATATCCCATGGTTATCCTATGGAAATCACATGATGGTAACATGGTAACCATTAAACAATGGTCCTGTGAACATCTGTGATCTGTAAACTATGGATCAGGATTACCAGGACCCCATTGCTTTTCCCGGTGTCATCATGGCGATTTCGGTCCGCCGATTTCGGGCATGTGTCAGGTCGAGCATGGCGGAAGCGGAAACGGCCAACCAATTGGGCTTGAGCCAAGTGCAGAAGGAGAACATGCGAAATGTCTGATGGGTACTTGGAAAATATGAACATTATCCCAGTTAAACCATAGTTAAACCATAGTTGAACTATAGTTCAACCATAGTCAAACCAGAGTCATCAGTAATAAGTGGTTAACAACCTAACACTTAGCCATGGTTAACTGGATGTAGCTGGGGAGTAACAATCACTTGGAGTATTTCCATAATTGGAGGATCATCCCAGTTGTTAGTAACCATAGTTAGTTTTACCCATTGTTTGATACTGCAATCCACCGAAGGGGGACTTCCTATCAATGGGAAATCCAGGATCCTAAAATGGAGGTACTGTACCATATAAGGCCATATTTTGTGGGGATATTCCCTTACATAGGCCTAAAAAATAGGCCTTATATATGGTAGGTACCTCCAATCAATCGGTTCCTGAAATGGCCATTGATCCTATGTCACCAAGGTTCTTAAGCACTTTCTAATTTCCAAGTGGGATGATCCTCCAGGTAAACTGACGTTAGTGATGTTTTGGGCGATTTTGATGGGGAAACTTGGCATGGCTACTCTAGTAAGTACAATGTGGGGATAGCTAAGTTGGTTTATAACTCCAGTAACTATGGTTATGATACTTATAACATCTTATAACTATATTTAATGGCGTTTACAGTATAAACCAACTTATAACATCTTATAACTGGGGGGCCCCACATTGTACCTAACATGTTTTTTTTTGTTTTTTTTACCCCACATGGGCTCCTGTACCAGCCTTCCAAAAATGGAAAAACAACAGGGTATCAAAGATGGGCAGCCTTGTTTGATGGGATCATCTGACCCATCATCATTACTCAGCCAAAGGTTTTTCGTTGCAAGGTATCAAGTAATCTGTTTGGGACCCCGAAGATTGGCTGATCTTTTTTGCAATGCATTTGCTGCATTATGTATCACTATGTAGTGAGTCCAAAAGCAAACAACATTATTCATTATTATCATTCTATTTGGATTCATGGCATATCCTTTTTTTTAAAATAAATCATTTGTCAAATTAATCATTTGGTCGTGTCGAATCTTTTTCACCAAGTGGCTGGCGAGTTTTTGGTTCGTTTCAGACGTTGCAATCACCACACATATGTCCCTTGTTGATACCATGTTTATTGTCTTTAAAGTTGGTATATGTTGATATATCAAGAGATATCGCTATGTATACAGATATAATTTGATATAATCTTAATTATCTCTATATATATATTATGGCACTTTATACATATAAATATATCATTATCATTATTATCCAGTATATTCCGCTTGTTTGAAGAATTATTATCATCATATGTGCCTTAGACGGGGCCCAGGCACTCTGGTCCCAGGACGTGAGCGACTTGACATCGTCTCTGGATCAGGCGCGCGCCGAGTATTCCGCGGAGCAGCAGCTGCGAGAGCAAGAAGCGCTGGAGGCGCAGCAAAAAGCGGAGGAGTTGAAGCTGGGCCACGGAGACGGAGGATTTATGAGTTCGAACATGTTGCCAATGGATAATATTGTAAAAATCCTGGGATAAATGGAAAAATGGATAAACATGGATTAATTGGGTGGTTTAATGAGATATTCTTGGGATATTAATGGGATAATGGGAATAGAATGGGAATAGAATGGGAATAGAATGGGACTATAATATACTATAATTAAAGAGAATATGATGGGAATATAATGGGAATAAAATGGGATATATAATTATAGCACAGATAGTGGTATATTACGGGATATTATGGGATATAAAGAAAACCAGTTTCCAGGATGATGTTTCCAACGTGATTAATTAATCCGAGGATATATGTTAGTCTACTATCACTTCCCCATGGATGGGGAGTTGAGTACCAGATTTTTCGCTGTGAGCAGTGCCTGCAAAACGTCGCTTGCTTGATGATTAGCTTGGGGATTGCACGAAGCTATATGATTCTATCATATTCTATCACAATCCACGGCAATCTGAGCCAGAAAAGATAGCTACTTGTTGATTGGTCATTGGGGTCATAAACTGACTGGTTTATTGGGGATCCTGACACAGTTAACGGGAGACCTATCAACCAACTAGTATACTGAGATGGGATTTGGGTATTTTTGACGACTCACCTGCCAAGGATGGATAGTTTAGTATATTACAATCATTTGCCATCAATGGGAATTTACAATCATTTGCCATCAATGGGAATGTAAATCCCAAACAGCTAATTAACAGCTTATTTGTTTGCAGAGTATCTAAGACTAACCATGATTAAGCATGATTACATTGTAACGCCCCCCCAAAAGATAGAATTTGGCAAAATCCCACTCAAGTAGTGAATTGAAGATTTCTATCTTGTTTGAAATTGGATGTTACCAGACTTGGCCAAGTCTCTAGTACTCACCATGTTATACCACCATCCCACTGGGAGATAGACCCTGGGAGTTTTCCATTGGAACTGGGAGAAGATGGCGGATTTGAAGCAACAATGATCCCCAAGGATTCGTTCCAAGGGCACTAAGGGCACCAAACATATCCCAGATTAGCTCACCATGGTGCTGGAAGATGCACACCTACATGACTGGGTCATTTTTAGGGTAAATGTAGGTGTGCATATTCCAGCACCATGGTGAGCTAATCTGGGATATACCAAACATGTCGATGAAAAAACACCTGAGGAATGCCACGATCCAAAAGCTGCAAGATGCCCTTGCGGCCGAGTCAACGGCCAGGGAGACCCACGAGAGACTTGGTGGCACAGTGTGATATGGCATCAGTCATGGCTGCGGCTCAACATTTTGGCCCCACAAGCGATGAACAGATACAGTACCCATTTTTTGACAGCCTATCTCAGTGGTTGCTTGGGATAGAACCTAATTCCTAAGCATTTAAGATCCTCAGATCAGGGATCATTGTTGTAGTTAGCCTTTCCAATACAAACAAACACTACAACTGTAGTCAGCTGCAACCTCTTTCATGAAAGGTTCATGACCCTTTTTTGTTCGTGGTTCCAGGCAGTTGGCAGCCTAAAATGATGCTCAAGTTGAATACAGGCAATCATTGTGTGGTAAATCCTCAAACATGGAGATGGTGTGGATATTTTTGAAGATAAACAGACAAAAAGGAGTGCACAGCTTCAAAATCATCCGGACAAAGTCATAAAATCGTTTTTTTCGGCAACATGTTAAACCTATGGGCCTTCCCAATGGGAGATCCCCAGTCGTCACCACGGCTCAGGAGTGCCGCAGCGGCTCGCGCGGCGGAGCTGCAAGAAGAGCTGCATCGCTTGGAGGATGCACACGCGCAGGCGGTGAAGGATGGTGAAGCCAGTCACTGGGCGTTTTTGAAGCCCTGGTGATCTGAGATGAGGAAAAATCCAGCTCCAAAAAAAATGGAATTTCAGCATGAGAAATGGGGAGTGAATGGGATTTTTTATGGGGAGTCGGGTGATGTTGGTCCCTCAACTTGTGGTCAAACGAGTACCTCTACTAAATGGAACAGGGCGTTTGGTCGAGTCATGTTGGCGTCTTAAGACACTCTGAAAATATATCCAAATTTTGCGCTTCAGCTGAACCAGGGGCCCACATTTAGTAGTGAAATTCGATCATGCATGCACATCCATTTAGTAGAGCTTGAGGCTATGCAAGCCGTTTCTTCACTACAAAATGGTTGCACAACCCCATCCCCTTAATTCACAGGGGGTTATTTTTTTAGCATCAAAACTTGGATATTGATGGGATTTCACATGATTTAAGCAAGCAAAATGGTAAACTGGATATGCCCAATGCAAAAAACACTACCATTTTGGATGGCTCTTGACCACTCATTGTGGTCAGTCATTTGGGATGGTGACTATGGAATTGGGTTCACACAAGACTGGCAAGTGGTCTACCCATGTCTACCCTAGATGGTGAAACAGATGGTGAAACAGATGGTGAAACAGATGGTGAAACAGATGGTGAAATGTTTTGCAATCTGGGTTTTATAGCAGATGTCTCTCTAGTTTGATGGGTTTACACTGTTTTTTTTTGACCCCCTGACGTATTATGAAGACAGGATGATTTACAAGTCAAGACTTGGATTTTAATGGAATTTAGCAAGCCAAAATGGTAAACCGAGTACTGTAAATCAATAAACAAAGGTGATTTCATGAGATGTAAAGGATCAAAAGTGGCGGAGTGAAGCAATAGACAATTGATGCTGGACCAGCCAGCTGGAGGATTTTGAGGTAGTTTTCTGCCAACGAATCTTCTGCTGTAAATGGGGAGATATGCTAACCAGCTATGGACAGTTTGCTTTTCTAGAATTGAGCTGTCCAAGATTGGCCATGCTGAAACCATGACACATTTCGATTGGGTATGGCTATGGCTCAAACTTTGGAAGGTTGAACGTATTAGGTTTAGTAGCAAGGTATGACCAGGCACTGACTGGTCCGCAATTTCATCATACATCATATCATATCATATCATTTCATATCATATCATATCATATCATATCATATATATATAGCTGACTTAAGTGGCTCCATGAAATTATGAATCAAAGGATTGGTTTAAGGGAAAATCTTAACCGGAAACCATCGATTTTCCCGTTAAGATCATGGGGCTTTCCGGTTTCAATTTTCCCACCAAAACCAATCCATGTCCATCTATGGTTTCAATTCCATCTATATACCCCCTGGTAATTTGACAAAGCTATTGAACATATTTTTCATATATAGTTCGTTGATTTACCTATTAAACATGGATACCCTCTGGTAATTTGTTACATAGCTATTGAACATGGCCATAGAAATAGTTGATTTACCCAGCTATAACATGGTGATTTTCCATAGCTATGTGAACGTTTACCAGAGGGTAACCATCATATATCCCATTAAAATACCATTAAATCCCATTAAAATACCATTAAATCCCATTAAATCCCATTAAATCCCATTAACATACCATTAAAATACCATTAAATCCCATTATGTTCGTTGATTTACCTATATATATATATATATACATAAGATATATTGTTATTCCAATTATTAACCATAGATTAACCATAAATTAACCATAGATTAACCATAGATTAACCATACATAAACCATCCAAGAAATAAACCATCCAAGAGGGGGCCTGGCTCTTCCGATTCATGTAAACGGCTCTGAGGTGATGCCAAGGCGCAGGACGTGATCGTGGATCTGAAGTCTCGCTTGGAAGACGTGCAAGCAGATGCTGGGTGGCAGTGCTTTAAAGGGTCAAAGGGTCTGGGGAAATCTCTGGGAAAATGTGGGAAAATCTGGGAAAATGTGGGAAAATCCATCATTCGGAGATTGTTTCATGGGAAAATCACAAGAAAAAATATAGGACATTTCCAGAAATAGATATTGGACAATCCCCAACAAAGATACGGAGGTTTGAAATTGATGGGAACATCATCAAACTAAATTTTCGAAAAAATCCACGTTTGATGACACCGGGGGGTACATGGGCTCAGGACCTGGGGAAAATCTGAGAAGCGCGGAATGGGGAATACTGAAATTACTCTCTGGTAATTTAACAGTTTCTTAGATGATCTTAGATGGGTACTTTAATCCTAACTAGTCTTTTGGTATCAATGGGAATATCTACTTACTAACCAGCAAAGAATTTGTCATTTTTTGCAGGGTATCTTTCAGATTGGCAATGGTTTGCTATTAAACATGGCCATAGAATGCCCAGTCGAAATAGTTGATTTTCCCAGCTAGAAAATGCTGGATCTCTCCAGTCCGTTGTGACCGATGCCCCAGTTTTATCCAGGGTAACTCCGGGACCGGAGTGAAAGTTGGATACACCCATCTGTCGGGTAGCTAAGATGAACCATGTCTGGTTGTTTTTGTTGTTTGTTGTGTTCCAATTTTCATGCGTTGCTTTCAAGGGATAGAATAGATGTTGTAGTTTTGTATTGATTGCTGATATTATATAAATTATATAAGTGATGCCATGTTTCATTTTGCACGTTTTCGTGCATCATCTATCATCATCTATCATTGAAATCATCGTCTATCATCTTCCAGCATTTGTTTCTATCATCATCATTCATCATCTATCATCACCTATCATCATCTAGCATTTGTTTTTGTCTTACTAACCCACCTACATAACAACAAATAACATAGCCTTTCGGTAGTTTCAGCATTTCAGATGTTAGCAACGTAACAACTTATATCAATGAAACAAAAATGGGTTTGTTTGAAAACGGGGAGGGCACCTTCCAAATGGGCGCTTAATGGAGAAGATGTAAATGTTGGCGTATCCTGTTTACAGATAAACCCAGATCTTGGTGTCAAACTTTGTATACTTGCGGTGGTTCCTGTGAGTTCTGATGGCTTTTTTTGGAGTCCACACCCAACAGACCCAACAGTTGATGATGCAACAATTTTTAAATTCTTGGAGTGGCTCACCCAAGCAGGGTTTGTCTGAAAAATAGGCTATTTCCGAAGTAGATGGGGTTGATCATCATTTCCTTATTCAAATGGCAATTTTGTGGGTATAATGTGGTAAATCCAATTGCATAAACTATCCCCAAGTCATCACCGTTCTTATGTGGGTATGTTTACCATCCCCAGTCATGGTGGTTGTTTGTGGCATTGGCTTTCCCACAAGATTAATAATTATCAATCCACATTGACCCATATTGACCTATCACTAATCATTATTAACCATCATGAGTGGTATAAACAATCCCCGTTTTTGGATATGTTTGGGGTATACCCTCTGGTTATTCAACATAGCCATGGTATAGATGGCCCATAGAAATAGATGGTTTACCTGGGTTTACCTATTAACAATGGTGGATCTTTCCATGGCTATGTTAAATAACCAGATGGTATCCCATTTTCAAAGACACATTTCGGCAGTGTTTTGAAACGATCTGCCAGGAACATTCTGCGGAGAGAGAGGGCCGAGAGGCCGACCAGCTCCAGGCGAAATCCCTGGCAGAAGACTTGCCGCTTGGATTGGAACCAGCTGGGCAGCTGGGGAATCCTGGCAGCCGAATGGTTTCCTACTTGGTGGCTCATCCCACTTAGTAAGTGGGTTATAACCCCAGTTATAAATGGGATAAGTAGGGTTAATCCACTTATAACTGGGCTTATAACCCACTTACTAAGTGGGATGAGCCACCAAGTACAGATCTTTGATCCTTGCATCATCTGGTAATTTCAACAAACGATGTTCCTGTTCTTCATCATCAATGTGTGACGATCCCAGTTACCATTGACTATCGTCACACCACGCAGATATCGGCACGGAAAGCAGAATGAGGAACCGAGTGAGGAGCCCTTTCTGCTTGGTTGCTTCACGAGGTGGTGCCATCTAGATATGAGTTGGTTGGTCTATAAGTGGAATGACCATCTACCTGATCATCTAACTATAGGTGTGATCAACACAAAACCATAGTTGACATAGTTGCAAAAAGTTACAAATCAACTTAGCAAACAAACTGAGGCACGGCCGTTCAGGTGTCATTCGCTTTCCGTGAAAGATTGTTGCTCAATATATATATATATATATATGTACATATCCCCAGGTATGATGCATTTATTCCCCAACTGACATCTGAAAATGTGCGGGAACCCCCCAAAGTTTCATTATAGATCACCATTTTCCCCACGATTTAATATTGTGTAATATACACATATATATATATAATATGCCAGAAGATAGTTGCAAAACCCATCTTTCCAGACACACCGCTTGTCAATATCCTTATGATCTCCTGGTTTTATGATCTTTGGCCCTCAGGAAAGCAACCCTTCAAAAGTTGGAAGATGAGGCTCTCTCCTTTTGCATTTTCGGGAGTCGAAACATAGGGGAAGACATGAGCGTCCAAATCTAGGGCGCACCAAAAAGTGAGGTTAGTTGAGATATGTTGAGATGTTTACCCTCTGGTAAACGTTCACATAACTATGGAAAATCACCATGTTTAATGGGAAAACTCACTATAAATGGCCATTTTCAATAGCTATGTTAGTTTACCAGAGGGTAAAATCTCTCTGATTTTCTGGATGTGACATGTGACCATTTTCCACGACGTGTGGAATGCACAGTTGGAAAAACCACGACATTTCTATCAACGATGCACCAACGTGTGGATCCGAAAGGTGATCCTCATATTTCATGGTTCTATTTTTATGTTCTCCCATATGCGAACCATGGTGCTGGAATATGCACACCTACATCACTGGGTGATTGTTTGGGTAAATGATGGTAAATATACCAGCACCATGGTTCGTATCTGGGTCTATGAAAACTCACTTTACTCATGTTTTTTTTTCCATCTTTTTTCCCCCCTTTCCATTGGAATCAAGTTTTGGGCTCATCAGGGTCCATCGTTAAAATGGGACATTTTGGGACGGCAGCTCCGGAAACTCAGCGTGGCGTTGTGAAGAGCGCTCGCACTCCGAGTTCAGGAACTCGAAGGAACACGTACAGTTTCCAATCACACACGATTGATGCAACTTGTGATGCAACATGATGAAACTGGATGTTCCATGATTTTCATGGATTTTCCATCCAACTATGGCATTATGGGGTGTCCCTGTGACTTAGGAAAGCTCCATAGTTTGGATCCAATGTTTGGGTCGTGACACAGGCTGAAAAGGAGAGGAAAGACTGGAGCTCTCAGCTGGCGACTTGGCAAAACCGAGGAGAAGTTCCATGGTGAAGACATTGTGAAAACATGGGGATAACTCGTTGATTTATTGCCAAGCATGGATCCTGGAATCCTAGCCTCAGGAATGCCCCCTTTTTGACATGAAACAAGCTGTTTTGGGGATCAACCATATGGATTGATGATGCCAGTGATATTGCGGAGTTTTAACCAGCAAAACCTGGGCCGCTTGGGCAACGTTGAAGCTGGCTTCAAGTTAGGCAAACATGTTTTTAAGCCAAAAACACGTACAGTAGATGTTGAACACACTTTGGGCGACGAAAAAAAACCCAAGTTTTGGAGCCCCTGAAGTTCGTGTGGTTTGAGTGATGACGGAATCCGCGGCCTCTTTCAACCCTTGAATTCTTTGGGAAAATGGAGAGTTACCCTCTGGTAATTTATGACAAAAAGCTATTGACAATGGCCATAGTTATTTTTCCCATTAATAGCATGGTGATTTTCCAGTTCGTTATGTGAACGTTTACCAGGCCGGGTATGGACAGTAACAAGAATGATATGTTCAAAAACCGCTCCACAAAAAGGTCACACTGCGAAATCCGTTTTCAGCCACACATTGGCAGCCACACATTCCCATAGGATCCATGTATGGTATATATGCTAACATTTGGGGTATATTGATGGTAAATGTTACCATATATAGCATACATGGATTCTACTGGATTTCAAACATCCAAAGTTCTTCCATAGTGCCATGTCGCGTTACGATGAGCTCTTTTCGGCGATGTCTTCAACCTTTTTTCACCCGAAGTGAGACATGGTGGTTCGTGCTCGAACTGCTCGAAGGTTCAAGATTGGTGATGGTCTACACTTAAGGCCCAAAGAACCAGTTATAATATGTTATTAGGATGTTTTAGGTCAGTAAGTCACCCCATTTATTGAATGATAACCCCATTCCATTCATAACCATTTATAACCATTTAAAACCATTTATACAATTTATAACCAGTTATAACCATTTATATAATTTATATACAACCATGTATAACTGGTAAAGGGCCTTAAGTGTAGGCCATGTTTGCTCCAAACAATTCAGGTGTGTCTGAAAATGGGTAGTGTGTCCTCCATTTGGCACATGAATGCAATCGGGAAGATGATGGTCAACGGTTGTGGATTATATTGGATTATGGAGCATCCCATTTTGCAAAGCCATTGCCTCATCTTGGGCTACTGACTCGCACTGTTTATGGTCAGTTTTTGGGCCTTGTTCAATTGATCCGACATTTTGAAGGCATGATGGGATGATCATTCCCATTGAGAAGCTATTGGTTTCATATTTTGTTTGGGAATAAACCACCAGAAACCAACCAAACCGAAGGCCCTGTCGGAGCCAGCCACAGCCACCCGGCCACCTCCTGCCACCTCCTGGTGTCCAGGCAGAGGTGCGTTCCCGCAGCGACCAGGAACGCGAAGGGCTGCAGGAAACGATTCAGAAGCTGCAGGCGGGCTGAAGGGCTGAAGCCTGTGGATGGGGTACTTGGAGGATCATCGGACTTACCATCTGGTTATGACTCACAGTTCGCCCTGGAAAGATCCACCATTTTTAATAGGGAAACTAGGGAAACCCAGGTAAACCATCTATTTCTATGGGCCATCTATACCATGGCTATGTTAGTCATAACCAGAGGGTAAGTGCTTTGAAACCATCATAGTTGGTTCAGCCATTTATAAGTGGAATATTGATGAATATTGAATAACCATATGCGGGGTCTGAATTTGACCCGTCTTTGTGATTTTGTAGAGCACCCCCCCACTTTTTCACTTGGTATCTACAAAATCCCAGCCCCCAACCCCCTAAAATCCTAATTTTGAGAGAGGATGAATAAGCCATTTTGGGGAGACTAACCAGGGTTACCAGTTACTAAATGGGCCTCCAAGTAGACTCACAGTTTGAAGAACCACTTCACTCCATCACATTTTTGTTTTGGAAGGGAGAGTGAATATATCGAAATCCTGGCGATTTAGGGTGCTTTTAGAGATTACCATTTTTTGGGGGGAGATAAGATCGCTTTGAACAGGTTTTGACATAGATGTTACACCCGACAATTGAGAAGGAACCTGTTGATTGACTTTGTAACGGAGACGGTCCCAGTTGATTAAGTCCCTGTTAGGTTATGGGCTTTGTGACAACATGCCCATGCAATCATGGGGTCCCATGCATGATTTCTTTTTCGTCCTGAGATATCCGTCGGATTTGTCCGGTCATTGATCGACATTGTCCGGTCATTGATCGATTGATCACTTCATAAGTTATGGTCTGTAAGGGACACCACCCCCAAATGTGGCTGGAATTTTCCAGGTTGGCATTGATGGTCATTGGTAACTGCCATCAATAATACATATAATCAGAAAAGAATGATTGTAACTAATGATTAAACACATGAAACACTGTTAGATATTACCTGGTTCATATCGAGATCATTATTCTCATGCTGGTAGATATTCTTCATGATACATATAATTGTATATATATATATATACACATGTAAAATACCTAAGTTTGAAGATTAAACTTGATCATTATCATATTTTTACATAAGTTTAGGTGGGATTATATAATCATTATCAAGTTATCGGCCCAGTATTAATCGTCAACAATATAGTTAGGGATTATAACAGTACTTGATTATTAACCCCTAAGTATTAACTAAACTATTATATGGTGACCATTTTTATATATTAACTAGATTAACTGTTATTTATTTTTTCAATTGTGACAATTGTTATTTTGATTATTAACTATGGTAACTAACCATTGATCCATCATTAAGAATCCCATGATCCAGTATGAACCATCATCAATACTAACCATAAGTATGTTCTTTTTCATCATATTTTCAATCAACATTATTGATCCATTACTAACATATTATGTATGCTGAACATATATGGGTTCGTCTGAACATAGGGGAGCCAAAAATCTCGCAATTCATGATCATTCTATCAAGAGTATACAACGCACATTTCCAGGCACACCCATATCATAGTATCGTTGCTTACACCCCATCACATCCATTATATTCCCTATTTCTTCTAGTTGAATTCATAGTTTTCATCATTTAGCTAGAAAAATGTGGGTGTAACTAAAAACATTAAACATCTTTTGTATATATTCCCATACATTCTCATATATTCCCATATATTCCCATGATCTTCCCATCGTTGTCAGATGATGGCCCATGTGACCCCGCCAGGACAGCGTCGCCGCCGAAAGCGCTGCGCGCGAGATCTTGGAGAAGAACTCGGACCAACGGACCAGCGACCTAAGCAGGTCCGCTCCGTGCTGGAGAAATGGGTCAACCTTGGTTATATATTAATATATATGGATATGGGTCAATACCTATAGATACATTTTTAGTAGGATGAACATCCATTTACCAGCTATTTTGGGGTTCACTAGGTACCAGGGTTTTGACCCATCCCTATATATATATATATATAGTTAGTGATATTAACCATAGTGATATATAAGGAGAATAATAGCATGTGATGCCGGAATGAACAAGTCATGGTGGTTGTTTGTGGCATTGGCTTTCCCACAAGATTAATAATTATTAATCCACATTAACCCATATTGACCTATCACTAATCATTATTAACCATCATGGGTGGTATAAACAATCCCCATTTTTGGATATGTTTGCGGTATACCCTCTGGTTATTTAACATAGCCATGGTATAGATGGCCCATAGAAATAGATGGTTTACCTGGGTTTACCTATCAAAGATGGTGATTTTCCATGGCTATGTTAAATAACCAGATGGTAGTTAGTGATATTAACCATAGTGATATAAGGAGGATAATAGCTATGTATAGTGAGTTATTGACAATTAACCATTGTAATTACAATATTACCAATGGTTATTATTGATTATAGTTAGTTATATTGCAATGGTGATAGTGATATTAACCATAGTGATATAAGGAGGATAGTAGCTATTACCCTCGGGTAATTGGTTACATAGCTATGGAAGCCATGGCCATAGAAATAGTTGATTTACCCACTAACAAATGTGATTTTCCATAGTTATGTTAGTTTACCAGAGGGTAGTACTTTCTCTAGTAATGTTGCTAAAAAAAAAACGTCCCCCAGTCATCACCATTTCTATAGGCGGTATGGTTACCATTCCCAATCATGGGTGGTTTATTATCTGGTTGGTGGTTTGGAACATGAATTTTATTTTTCCATTCAGTTGGGAATTTCATAACCCCAACTGACGAACTCATATTTTTCAGAGGGTTAGATATACCACCAACCAGTTATTGTTTTACCCACATGACTTTAATCTCTGGCTATCAACGGCTAAAGTTAGTCCGTTCACCAGCTAAAGAGTTTTTGATTTTTTGTAAGGTATCTTTCCTATTGGCCATGGGAAATGGTGAGATGTTTTCATGATCTTAAAATGAACCACACTTAATTATGATTAATGGGATTTTAATGATGATATGAATGATCGAGAAATGGTGGAATTCGTATTTTAATGGTCCATTTTATCTTTTAATATATTTTAATACTGGGGAATTTATCTTAAAATTGACACCCGATGAAAACTCCAATTACTGTATTGGTTTTACCATCAAACAATGTATTTTAACATGGGATGTTTCAATTATTTTACATGTTTTTTTCTTTAACACAGGAGTTAACCAACCGGAAAAAAATGACTTTACTAAATGAACTGATAGATTTCTATGTGTGTACGTATGTGAAGATCGCTTGTATGTGATATTTGGGAAAGCATGAGTATCTTAGATGTAGCAAAATTAGGGCCCAGGCTTCCATTATCTTAAGACAAAACCATTTGTTGTTTAAGTGGTAAGACACATATTTCAGGGCTGGACGTGATGAACCAACAATGTCTTGTTTTTCTCTGGGAAAACAGGGGATGTTTTTGATTTCAAGCCTAAGGCCTAAGAGAATCGAAACCAAATTTTAACAAACAAGAAAAGGGTTCAACAGACAAACAAATGAGATTTAAACATGCTTCAAGCAGCATTGGGGGCCGGCACAAGAAATTCTGGGACATCCGGGTTTCGTACAAGTGTTTGCGGTGAGTTACATTCACGAATCCGAGGATAACCTTCAACGGTTGCTTACAGCAGTCAATACTACGAGGGCAAGTTGCACAAAGGATCTCATTTCGGCCATGTTTGACACGTGAAAGAGTGGGCTGTGGTGGGAAATTTGCAACGCGTGAGCAAAGCCAAGCGTGTTGACGACGCCACGTAACGCTGAGACGTTGGGAGAACATGAGCTCGAGTGCACACTGGAGCCAGACTGTGACAGGAGGTCGAAATTGCCAGGGAACAGGAGTCTATTATATCATGATATTGCACTGCTTCCATAAACTATAGTATAGGTGATATATCATATGTATATCATATAGTATATTAGCTAATAGTTATGTCACTGCTTCCATTTGGGCTGGGGGTATTGATTTTAAGCATCTTCTGGACGATTACTTTGTGCCAGAGACTCTTTGGAAAGCCATGGAACCCCCAGGAACTTCAATGTGAGACTAGCAGAAGCCTAGAGGCTCTTTACCCGGTCTGGATGTACAATTGCAACCTCTCACGACCACACCCCTGAAGTAATGGTTGTATCAATTCCGTTCGTCATGCCAATTGTAGGAGTATCAACCATGGCTGAGGGCATGAAAGACCAGTCGTGAATTTGTGAGGAAACCCAAGTGAAAATCAAGATAAAACAACTTGGAGAACAAACCCGTGTGAATTTGAATTCTTCTTTAAGGAGATAGATTTTAACCAACGGGGCTTTTCGGATTTGGCTCCCAAGAATTTCCAATGGCTAGGGAAACATCGCCAACATATGCCAAAATCTGTCTTTTTGACTCTTTGTTAGCAAGGTAAGAACAAGAAACATGGTGTGTCCATGAGTTTCTTGTAGATTTCTCCCCTCATGAATTCCCATAGATGAAAACCATGGACCGTAGACATGGGTCATTGCCGGGGTAAATGCTGGTATGTATATAGAGTCCGATGAAGGTTGTCTTACTGGTGCTAAACGTCGGGAATGGATGGGTTGCTGGGGGGTTGCTGGGATGATTATTCATAGTTGGCCAGTGGATCATTCCCTCATTCCCTACGTTTAACACAAGTAAGTTGTTCGTTGTGGAACCACTGTTCGTTGTTTGAATCGTACCCCAACTATATCGGGATTATTGAAAAATGCTCCATAGTGATGTCCTGTAGATGCCTTAAATCCAGTGGAATGGGTATGTTTTTTATGTATAGAATTATCGATTTATCGGTGGTTTAATGGGATTTTAACCAACGAAAATGGTGATGTTAATATATTTTAATGGGATTTGGCGAAAAAAAATCTGGGCAAAACAATGTCATAAACCACCCATTTTCCTGGGAATGGTTTATACTTATCCTCTGGTAATTTAACATAGCTATTGAAAATCACCATTTTTAATGGGTAAATCAACTATAAATGGGCCATTTTCAATAGCTTTTTGTATGTTTACCAGAGGGTATCCACCTTGAAGATCTGTCGATCTGTCCCAGGAAAATCAACGACTTGCGCTCTGAACATCAAGAGGCCATGGAGTGACTTGGCAGCCGGGGTTGTTGCTTCAAATAACCTGATACAAACATGGATACCGTGACTCAACTGTTCGATCTGGTGAAATATATATATATAATATCTTATGATATATATATATATATGTGATATATATATATATATATATTATTATTACATATAATCTATATGATATAAATATATATATATATATATGATATGATATGATATGATATGATATAATATAATATAGTATAATATAATATAATATGATATAATTACATTATGTTTGTATATAACATATTCATGTGACAATGCTTCAAGTGGCATATGTTCGATGGTCAACATATTGCCTATTTTCCAATATTGGTTGATGGTCATCAATCCATATCAATCCGGGATTGATTTCTACCCATCGGAATCGACTTCGAATTGTGGGATGTTTTCGTTTGTGGGTGGTATTTAACATCAGGGGGAAGGGATGAAATCATGAATCATGATCAACCACGATGAATCCATTCATCTCATAAGTATTGACAAATCATGTCCAACCATTCTTGACCAGTATCAACCATGATTAGATGCAGGGTCAAGTACCGGTAACGATGAGGAGCACTCTCAAATAAGGTGGAGACTAGGCCATCTGAGGACTGCTGAAAGCAGAGCTGCAACAGCTGCAGAGGAGAAAACTGAGCTGCAACTGAGCCTTGGACTTTCTTTGGTTTCGTCGAAATCTGGGGTACACTGCAGTCATTTCTTGATTTGTTACAAAGCTATGGTATAGATGACCATATCATGTATAGATGTTTTTCGTACTGAGAATGCTGATTTTCAATTTGACAAATGGTGGTATAATGGGATGCAATGGGGGTATAGTGGGATTAGTGGGGGGAATGATGATCTATACCCTCCAGTAATTTGTTGGTTGGTTAGCTATGGTAAAGATGACCCATCCATCGAATCATTTTCCTACTACAATGCCCCCCCCCCAGTTCTAAGTCCCCATGAACTACAGTTATAAGATGTTATTTGCGTATCACAAACCATATAGTTATTGGAGTTATTTGCACCAACTTAGCAATAGTTATAAACCATAGTTATTGGAGTTATTGGAGTTATAAACCATAGTTATTGGAGTTATCACAAACCATAGTTGTTTGGGGGTCCCACATTGTAAGAATAGTGGTCTGCCAGTGGTGAAGCTGTTGCTGTTTTCGAGCCGTGGGGATTGCATATTCCCAAGTAAAGGGTAGCCAGTTGAAGCTACGACCCTGGAGTTCCCAAGCATATGACGGGTTTATTTGGGGTTGAAGTATCAATTATAGTGGTTTTCATGGGATTTTGAATGGGATTTTGAATGGGATATACCATGATAGTTACTGTTGGTTTGATTTTAAGTGCGTGTTTTCTTTTTTTGGTCGGAGAATATTGAGCAACTAGTTGAAATGATGATGCCCAATGCGACTCTTCGATGGTTTGAATGGAAAAACACTGGGGGAGTTCCCAAAGACATGGTACCCGTGGTACCCCATCACCAGTTTATATACCCTCTGGTAAACTACGTAACATAACTGTGGAAAAGCACAAAAACTTTAATGGGTAATTCCAGTATAACTTACCTTTTGCAATAGCTATGTTAAATTACCAGAGGGATTATCATCTCAAGTGAGGAGTCGCCAGTCATGTGTTTTGCATCAAATGACAACTTCTGATCCCCATCATAGATAAAATTTGACGCCCAAAAATGACAACTTCTGATCCCCACTTCCACTGTTTGAAACTTCAGTTCTGGTTACAGGTAGACTGGACATATTGATATATCTATCTATATATATATGGGTTTGTCTGAAAATAGTGTACCCCTACACCCAATGGTTTTGCTGATCATTATCCCTACTAAATGGCTATTTCATTGGGGATATACCCCATTTTCAGACATACCCATATCAATATTAAACAATCATATCATGCAGATATCATGGAGGTCTGTTCCCAGATTCCCAGATTGGTGAAGCCAAGAGCCTTGCCGATGGGGTGAGCCAAGCTTTTCACTTCAGATATGTTCTAAGAAGGTGATAGACATTTCTGATAATACACATTCATTAGATCTGGGTAAATTATAACGACCTCACTGCGACCTCACTGGGAATCATGGTTAATAAGGGGAATCATCCCAAAATGGCCTTATTTCAGGTGTGTGAATTATTATAATTTGCCCAGATTAGATATGTCTAAGAACCCCACATTCATCTATATATATATGTATATATATATATACATATCAGTGATTTCTTGTCTTGGACACTTCGGATATGTATATAGATGATGACGTTCTAGACAATAAATTGAGACTTAAAAAAACAGCTGACCCACAGCAGGAAAGAAGAATGGATGACCATACCACATTCATCCCATGTTAAATCCCATTTGCTGATGCTTCCTCCCTACAATCCGAAGAAATACCATCCTTTAAACTAAGGCGCACTATTTTTCTTGTTTTTTTTTTTCCCCTTCCCCGTTTTTTTTCTTCCCCGATCATCCTTTCACAATGAAGCCAGCAGGCAAGCGGCAAGCAAGCAAGCAAGCAAGCAACCAAGCCAGGCAGGCAGGCAGGCCAAGCAAGCAAGCAAGCAAGCCAGCCAGCAAGCAAGCAAGCAAGCCAGGCAAGGAAGCAAGCAAGCAACTGAGCAACCGAGCAAGGCAGCAAGCAAGCAAACAAGCAAGCAAGCAAGCAAGCCAGCCAGCCAGCCACCATAAGTAAAGTTTTGAGCCAATGTAGATAAACCTTCGAGCCAACCCTTCGAAAGAACCATAAACCAACTTTCAATAAAACAAAACCACCTGAATTTTGAAATACCACCTGAAATAAGCACCAACAATTTTGAAATACCACCTGAAACCACCCTCAAATAAACTTTCATTAAACCTTGAACCAATCCTCAATAAACCACAAGTCAACCCTAAATAGATCTCTAACCAGCCCCAGACCAATTCGAAACCGAACCGTAAACCAATTTAAAACATAAAGTGCACCGGCACTACATCGACCCTAAACCAACTTGAATTAGCCATTGAGCCAACTTTAACAACACCCTCAACAACCTCAAATAAATTTCCGAGCAACATTCCATAAAATTTTAAACCAAAATTCCATAGTCCCCAAACCAGCTCTAATCAATCCTTAAACCAACCCCAATTCAACCCTAAACCAACCTTAACCGATTATTAAAACAACCTTAATCCAACCCCAAAGAAAACCATAAAGAAAACTATCCATGTATATATATATATATATATGTACATATATAGTCATATATATATATATTAAAAACATATTGAAACCTTTACGAAGGAAACTGCACGTTTCCCTTCACTAACCGGGTTGATGCCGGCAAGGGAGGTGATGGGGCAGTTCTGGTGACCACAGTGGGTGGCATGGAGTTCTACCTGCGCCAGAGCACTGGCATCACCGTGCCATTCTGGCACGTGGCTTCGGTTGCCGATGCAGCCATGGCCAACATGGAGATTGTGCCTGCCAAGAACAAAGATGGATTGCTCGAGGGCATCAAGATTCCCTATATGCGGAACATTGCACCTTTGGAGCCCGACACCGAGCTGTTGATCTACAAGCCGCCCAGCAAGACGCGCGTCAGCGCTGAATCCTTGGACAAGCTGATCCCAGCGAAGAGACTTCGCGGCAAGGAAAATTTGAGCTAGGTGAAGAGTATCTATAGCTCCAGACTTGTTGGCATGTGGTGGACGGGTAAAAGAAAACAAACGAGCCGAGCCCTGCTAGCGGTTTTGCAACCTGCTCTCGAACGTCAAACCTGAAGCCAAATTTAAATTTTCAACCAACCTCAAATAAACCCTGAAACGGATGCCAAATAAAGGGGTAACCCAAAACAGACCCAAATCCAAACCTACAAGACAAATGAATTTTCGACAAATTCCGAATCAAATCCTGAACCGATTTTAGATAAAACTTTGCACCAACCTTCAGCCAACCAGCAATAAACCACTGACCCAACCCTGAATCAACCCTAAACCAAACCGAAAGAAAATTTAAACACATCTTAAACCAAACACTAAGCACGCCAAAAATAACACCCGAAAAAATATTAAATAAGCATTACGCCAACATTAAATAAATCCAGAGTAAACCTTGAGCAAACACTAAACCCACCCAAACTAAACCCTAAATCAAGTTTAGCTACAATTTCAAAGCGGCCTTGGAACACAACCCTAAACCAAATCTAAACAAAACCTTTCACCAAACGTAAACCAACCCTGAACATATCTTAAAAGAAAAAAAACATTCCAAAATACTTTCACCCAAGCCGAAACAAACCCATACAAATCCTACAGCAGCCCTGACACCATGCTATTTGAACCAGCCCTAAAACTAAGCGGACTCCGAGCTAAACCGCAAATTTCCCGTAAACAACATATGGCACCAACACCAAATTCATGCCAAACAAGTGCTACACAAACACTATTTATAAACCAACTTTAAACCGACCTGGAATAACTAACCCAACCCACGATACCGATACCTTTAACCAACCCCAAGCACACACCACAGCAGCCCCAACAACACTTCTAGCTGAACCAACCCTAGATTGCTGCTAGCTCCAAAAATCTCCGAAATAAGAGTTTCTAGCTCCAAAATGCTGCAATTACCGTAGAAGTGGTTCCAAAATGTTACAAACACTGTCCAAATGGCAGCTTCGAGGCTTAACATGCTGCAAATAGCGAGGGAATTGATGCGGCATTGAGCGGGAAAAAACAATCCCTGGGAATCGGAGTTTACCCACCATCTGCAGATCATTTTCCTAGGGAACCATGGGTGTTTTCCATAGGTTTTCCCACATTTTTTCGATGTTTACCTAGGGCAAGCCCCAATTGGTTCACGGTGGTTTTCCTCGCCCTTTCAGGACTTTGGAACAGTGGAGATCCGAGCATGCAGAAGAGACGGCACTGAAGGTGGGTCGGTCGGGGTCGTCCTTTAGTTGTTTGCTATAAACTACCCTCTGGTTATGTCAAAATAGCTATTGAAAATGACCATAGAAATAGTGGATTGTCCTATTAATAGCATGGTGATTTTCCAGTTCGTTATGTAAACGTTTACCAGAGGGTAATCCTTAGTTTCTTATGTTTCTTGCTATACTTGAAAATTGGAAAATCATCATGACCAGCAAACGATTTTTTTTTCCGTTGACTACCAAAGATTGACCATGCTGAACGTGTTTGATATGATTGTAAGTTGCTTCACCATGGTTTGAGAGGCTTTATGAAGGTGAAATTGGATGTTTGTTGAGATTGTTTGAAAGGGAAAGGTTTGCAGAGATTGGATGGTGAAAGATGAAAACGTGATGGTTTCATGCTTTTGCGTCTTGCAAATTAGCCTATGTTTCTTGGATGATTTGGAGGTGTTGCTTTGCTTTGAGAAAGATCTTAGTACGGCCATCAAACATGGCAATTGGACATCCCCTAGGCCCTAAACAAAGAGGTTATGATTGGAAACATCATATCAATGGGAGATTTTCAATCGGAATGTTTGATTACCGGAGGGTAGATGTCAATCCCGTGTCCAGCCGTGACAAGTATAGATATTACAATAGCTGAAAAATCATTGAACAGAAGTTGGTTGATGATTACAGGTGGCTTGGAGGCAATTCTCGACCGTGGGAGCTTGGGAACCCCCGGCTCTGGACCTCGTGGGTGCACGACACCCCAGAATCTATGGGATTGTTACAACTATCCATGAGTTGTTAATGAAACCCCATGGAACCCCATTAAGCAAAGCAGTAGCCCATGGTGATTTTCCAGGTTGAACTGACATCTCAGTTATCCCATCATCTCCCCGATGTTGGTTGCTTAAACAGGTGCACATACCCGAAACACCCCATGTTTGCCAGTGTGTTTTCGTTCAACATCAGCCACGTATCGAAATTGCCCAGATCATACCAGTAAAATTCCCCATGAAATAGAGTTATCCTATGGATGGTTGCGAAATACTGCACCAGTTGGTAGATGGTAAGCATCCCATTACAATCAATTTCATTAGAAAATTTACAGTGTTTCATAGTTACCAATAGTTAAACATCCCCTTGCACCTCAGTCAAATCTCATATCATAGCCACAAAATCCAAGTATTAACCATTATTACCCCGTTGTTAACCCATTATTCACCATATTATTCACCATTTTTTTTTTTACCGTATATATTATTACAGTTTATTATCTCATGATATCCCTGTGGTTGCGTCAAAATCTGCCGATCATTTTTTCAGGCCTCCAAAGAGAAGGAGGTGGAAGACTTGTCTTCCCAGGCGTGAATAGCATGTCCAAACATGGCATGCGGATAAAGGCGATTAATATGCGATATACCCTCTGGTACATCAAGAGTTCGACCCTGAACATCACCAACTTTTGGTGGTTTCACGAATCTTCGAAAACTCTTCGAAAACCCCCAAGTCATGGCAGGGTCGAACTGTGATTTTTTTCCGGTCATCAAAAGGGAAAATCATTGGGATCTCTGGTTTCATCAAACCTGGGAAATCCGATGAATCGACGTTTTGATGGGAAAATCAATGGAACTAAGTGGTGGATTTTTTGTTGTGCCATGTTTGATTAGCGGATGGTAATGCTAGTCCAGTGCTCGTCTTATCTTGAATTGATGAATTGGATACATGATTAAATATATGATTATATAATGATTTAATGATTTATTCTTTTCTGGCCCATAAATGGGATGATAATTTATAATCATAAAGTACTATCCACATGGGGTGGGTGGGTATAAAAGTGAATAATGATTAACATATATATGTTTAATGCTGATTAAAACTGGTTAATACCGGGTAATATTGCTCAGTCACAAAATGAATTGTGGTTAATATTGGTTACCACAAAGTATTTACTGGCACTTTATAAAGTTGACGCTTCCATTTCAGGTGCCAAGCCCGCTGGTGGTAAAAGGTTGCGGTTCTGTTAGAAGGTTTCAGCGTTGCAGAAGTTCGCTGGTTTCACTGCAAAAGCAGCAGTTGGGACTCCCAAAACCGAAGAATCACTGTCAGTAGCGATAGACTAAGTCTCACTTATCCACTTGTAGGATTTATATCAGCCAATATCAGCCTATGCTGAACTGGTTGGTGGTTTGGAACATGTTTTATTTTTCCATTCAGTTGGGAATTTCATCATCCCAACTGGTCCGAACTCCATCATTTTTCAGAGGGGTAGTAGGCTCAACCACCAACCAGTATATTCAATATATATATATAATAGATTATTATATTAACCATATATTAACCATATATTAGCTATATGTTTGTTGGTACCCCACAATGCCATGGTTCAAAAATCGTGTTCTCAGTTTTTGTTGCTGATCATAACTTGGCGGTAAAGTCTCCCATTTTCAGGCCATAGCCGTATCCATTATTCATGGCATGGCTTAAATCCTCATGTTGGTTCCCATGAGAAAAAAACACTGGTCATTTCTAGTATGAACCAATTTTGTCTCCCAATTTTCGGGGTACCCGGCTTGGTAAACATACAAAAAACCATTGTATCCATGGCTCATTTATAGTGAGTATTCCAATTAAAAATGGTGATTTTCCAATTTTAATAGGGATTGTAGAAGTGGATGAGGGGGACTTATGGGTAATCACAATCACAAACAACCTATATTTCATCTGGTTGAATCATAGTGACCTCACTGTGACGTCACTGGAACAATGGTTAGCAAGGGGAAATATCCCATAGAGTTATCCCAAACAATTACAATAGATGGTAAACCCCACATGCTAATGATAATGGTCACAATGAATCATAATGTCAATGAATATCAACATCAACCCAATATGTGATAAACAATACAAAGAATCTCAAAGAACTTATGGTAAACCATGGCAACCCGTATCCAGTTGTGCAGATCTAATGTGGTAAACCCTACTATTGTCATAGTAATCCCCAATAGCTGATTCAGATAATCCAGAATTACGGTTATATATATATACATATGATTCAGATTAGATTTAGACTAGTAATTATCCATATATATATATGATGAATAATATATCCAGATTGATATATATATATATACATATGTATATAATTTATAATGGTTAATAATGTATTCAGATTTGCTCTGTGGTAATTTAACATAGCTATTGAACTATGGTCACATTTAGTTCGTTGATCTACATGGAAAAAGTGGGGCTATTTTCCCATCACAAACTGTGAGATGACCAAAAGGTATCGATTGAAATGTCCACCGATTCTACATTTGGATACAGTATATATTCAGATTTATCAATAGTAATATGTAGTAATATATATATATAATATCAATATATTCAATATCATCATTAATATTTATATATGGTATAGCATTTTTTCAGTAATTCAAATATATTTCTAGCTCCAAGTTACCCAAATTCAGAAAATGTACATATACTATGAATCCATCGTACTCCAGACCTGTCTCTTTGGACCCACTGTTTTCCCAACCTGTTTCCCTGTGTGTGACATGTTTCACACCTGTGAAATGACTGGTTGCGATGGGAAGACCTTTCAGCTCAATTTGGAAATTGTTTGGCACCATGTCGATGCCTTGTGTTGTTCCTGAAATGCTATGGAGCCTGGATGAGCTAAAGCGTGTCCTGATAAGTGAGTTTCCCATTTTGGAGACTGAAGAAGGAGAGGGTTTCAAAATATTGTTTGACTTGTTTGCTGAGTGGGCTGAAATCCTGTTAAATTACAACAACCAGCATCCGCTCGCTCTGTTGAATTTGGGGAATTGTTGCCCAGAATCCTTCTCTCAGGGGATTTCCGGCCGCGCATACTCATGTCGCATCGCACTCGAGGGGTGTCATCGCACCCCAGAGGACCCCATTGCACTCCACACACCTACTCACAGATCATCGTACTCCACAAAAGGGATCGTACACCAGAAAAACTTGCGCAGACAGCCAAAAACCATTTTTTTTGAAAAAATGAACCTGAAGAGGTCTTTTTTATTTTTTTTCTCTTCGGAGGTAAAATGCTCTGGAATATGATAATATGGAATATGGGGGAAATCGTTGTTTTTCCAGCGTTTTGAACAGTCGCGCATACAATCGCATTCCATGAAATTTTGATACTTTTGACCCGTGGAGGCTATGGAAATTCTCGATTGTTGTCTTAGTCGTGCGCGATAGAGTGTGATGCCTTGTGGGTATGCGGAATGGAATTTGCAGCCTCGATTTGATCAAAAATGATATTAACATATGCCTGAGAAGCCCACATGCAGGAACGGCAACGCATACGGGGGGGTCATCGTACTCCAGGGGTGGCAATGTAACTGTATTAAGTGGAAATATGGTACCATTTGGGTTCGAGCAAGAACAACGTAATCCAGACTTGGCCCCGTTTACAGATGCGGAAGCTGAGCCGCCAGCCAAACGCGTCAAAAAATAAGCTGAACAGCTTATCCAATGGTCTTAAAAGATCCTATACTATACAGAGAAGTTGATGATTGATGAGAGAAACAAGACTTTATGATTATGTTTATTCAAGAAATCATTGCTTGAGAAGGTTCTCAGCGGGGTTAAACATGTGCGATTGGACATGACAGCACGTGACCAGGGAGCGCCTGACAAGGGTCACACAACCTTATTCTCATCATCAAAGGTCGTTCATTATTTTCCAAATTTCCGGAGCTATTTTGGCATGGAATATGAACAGCCTTGGAATATGGGTAAGATTTTGCTAGAATATTTGTCTAAAGTCAATGAGTACCAGTATTTAACAATACCAAAGAACATAGAATATCCAAAAACTAAATTACGAGTAATTATTTAGTAATTCAAGTATGATTTTAGTAATACTGGAGATTCATGGAGATTCATTGAATATTCAACAATACTAATAATAATTTATAATATTTAGCAGAGAGAGTTTGCTAGTATCATTTTTCACAACATCGGACTAGAATATTCATTGAATGTTCAGCAACACCCCAGTAACATTGTTTATTCAACAATACTAATTCATAAATATTCAACAATACTAATTCATAACAATACGAATATACTAACATCATTTATAGTACATGGATATGTTATTGATAATAATATTCCCCATAGGTATGCTATATATGGTAACATGGATCCCATCAATATACCCCCTTTATGTTAGCATATATACCAGCACCATGGATCCTATGGGTTCTGGTTGATAATTAATATATCGAGATTTATCAAAAAACGTCGCCAGGTACAGCAGCTCCAGGCAGACCAGGCGAGATACACGTGGTGGTTTTTCATGGGGATACACTTAAAGGAATTTATATTGGGTTTCCTAAGATTCTTTGGGATACCCCCCAAAAATGGATGTTGATTTCTATTTATAATGGAACATCCTGGTAAAATATTGAAAATCCTAGGTAATGTAGGGATTTTATATCAATAGAAATGGAGATTTAACATAATATTTTAATGGATATTTTTAATATTTAATGACTTATACATATTAAGAAATAATAATATAGATAACCAACGATGTTTTGATTTAACATGATTGAAACAAAAAAATGCAATGTATAAAACCAACGAATTTATGAGGGTATCATGTGATCGTATTTGAGCATGTGGGTGTCTTAAAACGAACCCCAGAGAAGCAATCTCATCATTTTTTGCCAAGAACGCTGCAGTGGTGGCATTTGCGGACCCAAGTGCTGGGGTTAAGTCGATGCATTGCAAAAATAGTCGGTGAAATAGAAGGAACATGTTTCCAGTTCGTACACCCTGAGAATTTGAGGAACAAATAGTTCGATCTTTGTAATCATATATTTACACATGAAAGATCCTGATTTCCCTGTTCTTGCAGTACTTCGATCCTGCTAGATTTTCTATTGGAAAAAGGGAAATTGTTCGAAATCTTGCAGGATCTTGCAGGAAACCCAGATAGTTGGCTGGAAACTCCACGTTTGTCCTGTATTGTTTTCCTTCCACCAACCCAGATAACCCAACGAATACCCTCTGGTAATTTAACATATGAAAGCCACGGCCCATGGAAATAGATGATTTACCTATTAACAATGGTAATTTTCCATAGCTGTTACCCTCTGGTAAACGTTCACATAACGAACTGGAAAATCACCATGCTTTTCATGGGAAAACTCACTATTTCGACTGGGCCATTTTCAATAGCTATTTTGACATAACCAGAGGGATCCAGAGGGTAGTTTCCTGGAGGTTTCCACCATGGGATCTCATTGCCGCCTCACGAAAGCCAGGAGGCGGAAAGCAAGAAAGCTGAAGCCAAGATGGAGCAAATGATGAACGACATGGAGGCTGGGGCAGCTGGGACAGCTGGGACATGTGGGCAGCTTCTTCGCAAAATGTGGTAAATGTGTACCCTCTGGTAATTTGTTACAGTTTGCTATTGAAAATGGCCACAGAAATAGTGAGTTTTCCCATGAACAATGGTGATTTTCCATAGCTATGTTAGTTTACCAGAGGGTATATTGTATAACTGGTTGGTGGTTTGGAACATGAATTTTATGACTTCCCCAAGAGTTGGGATGATGATCCAATCTGACTTTCATATTTTTCAGAGGGGCTGAAACCACCAACCAGTTGTATAATTATACTATATGTTTTATAGAAATGAAGAGAATTCATCATGTACCAAACAGTATCAAGAGGAACAGCATACACTAATGTTGCAGAGCCAATGCCGCCATAAACTTTACATAAACCTACCATTTGCGGATGATTTCCATCCCATCCCATTGATATTCAATTATTCTATGGTGATGTCGGGGATGCTTTATGACATGGGGTTTACCACACCCAGTCGAAACTCGGCAGTCGTCGACCCCTCCAGGAACTGTCCAGTGAGGCCGGCGGGGCGATTTTTTGGGCTGCTGAACCGCAAGTGTAATATTCCCCCGAAGAAATGATGAAATGGTACCCTTCAAGCACTCCAATCACGACTACCCTCAGGTAAACTAACATAGCTATTGAAAATGGCCATATTTATAGTGGATTTTCCCATTAAAAATGCTGATTTTCCATAGTTATGTTAATTTACCAGAGGGTAATCCCATTCATATGCCACGACTATAATCCCTGATTTTTTGTTTTCTTTGCCATTTTAAACCATGGTTCCTGGAGGGTAAATCCACCTATCGCCAGGCGCAAGCCGTGCGGCAGCAGTTGCAGCAGCAGCTGCAACAGGCAGAGCAGGAAGCACAGCAAGTGATGGAGGAGAAGGAGAAATCGCAGGCAGATTTTATGGGATTATAATCATCAGAAAGTGTGATTTGATATATGACCTAAACCATGATTGGCGAGTACTGCATCTGTTCATATCTTTCCCTAAATAGTTTGTGATATATTCTATGTGTTCCTGCAGGTTCAAGAACTCCCTAGTAATCTAGTAGGACAAGGCTGCAGTGTGAGCTGCTTATGGTTGAAACTGCCCTGCAAAAGATGCAGGTTTTGGGTATGGCTATGGGTCAAACTTGGGGCCCAAAGCTTGTCACAGCAATGATTCTGTGGTTTCGCCAGGCACATGTTGAATAACAGTGACACATGGATATAGTGATGGCTGATTAAAAAACAAAAAAACAAAAACAAAAATGCTTTGTTGAATTCCCCGGCATCAGAGAACCTGATTAAAACTGGTTGGTGGTGACTGGAACCATGGAATTTTATGACTTTCCATTGGGAATTTCATCATCCCAACTGGTCCGAGCTCCATCATTTTTCAGAGGGGTTGGTATACCACCAATCAGTTTTAATATTGTTTTTAATGGATTTTAAGATGGTTAACTTCCCATTTTTTCAAATGGAGTTAGAATGGATATCCTGGATAGCTATATATAACTGTGGATATATCAGAAAAGGTTTCCACTTTTCATTCTGTGGAAAATGGGTGGAGTGCACTGAATGATACCAAATCGGGGACTTGACCCGATGAAATACTTGGAGTTGCGGCAATTTTGGGCCATGAACAAAGACGCCAATCGAGAAACAATGAAAAACATATGAATTATTGGATGCCCCAAATGGTGGATTTAAGAACTGGGAGAACAACAAATCATGTTCAGTGAACCCTAGGTACAATCCTCCCTTCTATGGATCATATTAGTTTCCAGCTCAATCTTAAAACTTGTTCACCTTCGTTGTGTCACAACATGATCCACAAAGCTGCCCTTCACAATTTAGTTTTCCCATGATATCCTTGCCATATCCCCATGTTTTGGTTGGTATCAACCATTACATGTTGGTACATGTTTTGTTGTCTTCTTTCGATAAAATCACACACTGTTTGCTGGCAGTAATGTCATAGTTAAAGTTAATGGGATTTAACCAAAAACATCAGAAACGGTGATTTGATGGGTTTTCTACAATGAGAAATGGAGATGTCATCGGATTTTAACCATGAAAGTTGGGGGATTTAACATGATTTAACCATCAACACGGATTTCTTCGAGGAATTTTCAATGAACATCTTTTATTAGAGGTTCTAGAGATGTTTCTGAGACGATGCAGCCTGGTGTATTGGCCACTTCATTTTTGTGGCCCCAGTAAAACATCAAGGCATAGGCAAGTTGAACTTGAGGCTGAACGTGGGTTGAACGGTTGAACCTCCGTGGTTAATGACGCCCAACGACAGAGTCAAGGGACACCAGAATTTAGACCATGGTATGAAATCCCAGCTGAGTACGAGAAACTACAGTAAGTTGATCTGAAGCATCATCTACGCCTTTTCTTTATTAAGGACCAACAAAACGGGGATATGACCACAGAGGGTGAGAATGTGTGGCTAGCTGCTGGTATGGGTCAAGAAACTAAAGCTTTCACACAGTCTGGTGGGGTTCCACATATTCTGAGACATGGTCATGCAGTCATATCATCAACGCTAGAGCGGATTTTTTTTTACTTTGCAGTTTATTAAAAAAATGGGGTTCCGGGATAAATCCGTTTATGACCAGCAAAAGTGAGAATCAGTCAAATCAACATTTGAGGATCTCCACTCTTAGGATAGGAGTCAACCCCATATCCTCCGGCTTCCGCCCACGTTCCCAGCCGGTCTCACGGCTAGGCCCAGCTTGAGGAAGACTTGAAAGAACTTCAAGCGGCTCACGAAAAAGAGAAGGATCAGGTGCGGCATGGGACATTATTATTGTAAGAGCCTTTGGTAAAGTACATTGCTACGGAAAATTTAATGAAATTTATGGAACATGACCATTTTTGATAGGTATCAAAGAAAGGATTTGTACCAGGGCAATGTTCCATAGCTAATCTCAGCTTGAGGATTGGAGAAGAATATGGGATGTATAACCAACGGTTAATGATTATATATGATGATATGATATATAGCCGATAGCCATGGTTGATAACTTGATGGATCTTAATGGTTCATAATGGCTGATAATTATGCTTATGATTAGTATTCATTGGACACATTGACCACCAATGATTCGTCATGATTATTAACCATGGCTAACCGTAATTATCATACATTCATTCCATAATGATAATTATGATTATGGTTAATATTCATTGGATTGATAAATCCATGTGTGGGTTATTGATATTAAATCCATATGTGGGATTAATCCCACCTTCAAAAAAAAGGTTATCAAATTATCAATCATGATTCATCCCACATGGATTCATCATGTTTAGTCATGGTTGGTAATGATTAATCCCACCTTCAATTGAATTCTTCTCTGTGGGAATCAACATGGCAAGGGAACATGTTCCTCGAAGAATGCGGCCCAGCCATGGTGTTACTGTCAGAACGTAAGCCTTACTGAAGAAATACAATGTGGGGCCCTACAGTGATGTGAATGTTGGTTTATAACCCCCATGAATACTATAGTTATTTGCGTATCATAAACCATAGTTATTGGAGTTATGTTCGCCAACTTAGCTATCGTAAACGGGGGCCCCACAGTGTAGAAACCACGGAGATTGTGACCATGTTGGATGTCTTTTGGGTTCGGTCTGAACTTGTTCATGGTTTAATCAGGATTTTTGGTCGCAAACGCAACGTTTTAAGAATCCTATGGAGTTCCCGTCTGAGATTTTTGCCAAGCAAAAACCAATCAATCCCATACGATCCATGGTGCTGCTATATATGGTAACATTTACCCAGCACCATGGATCCTATGGGAATAAATCATTGATGCCTAAAGCGTGGTTGGCCAAGCCCAAATTTCTTGGTCAAATCCGCATGTTTGCTGCTTTTTTGTCATCTTAAATCACCATTTTTTTGCGATCATTTTGGAACATCAAACAGATCAATGGGAATTTCAGGATCCTAAAATGGAGGTACTGTACCATCCATATTTTGTGGGGATATTCACTTACATAGGCCTTATATAGGCCTTATATATGGTAGGTACCTCCATTTTAGGATCCTGAAATTCCCATTGAACGGATGGTACCTTTTTTTGCCTATGGTAAAATCGTTGATGTCAAACCCCAATGGGGTGTTGTTGCTTAAACAACCTGAAATCACCATGAGTCATCATTTTTGATAGCTAAACATTCTTAAATCATCAGAAATCCAAATGTTTGGTGAGATCCCAATTTGAATCACCATAAATTACAATTTTGGGATGGTTAGATCCATATTATATACCCTCTGGTTATTTAACATAGCCATGGGAAATGGCCCATTTATGCCCATTTATAGATGGTTTACCTATTAATAGCATGGTGGATCTTTCCATAACCGGATGGTATATACATATATATATATATACATATATATACATACATATATACATATACATATAAAAATCATTATAAACCACCATAAACGACCTTTTTCGGGATGGTCACGTGCCACCATCTTCTGGCCTTTGCCAATGCGCCTTCCAGGTGGCGTCTCTGACTTCCGATCTGCGGGAGATGGACATGCAGCACAGCGAGGATGGAACATTTTATCCCAGATTAGCTCACCATGGTGCTGGAATATGCACAGCTACCATCTGGTTATGCATGGGTCATTAAATGTCCCCATTGAACATCACCCAACCATTAGGTATATGGTCTATAATGGCTACTATAAGGTGATGTCCAATATACCCAAAATGGGACAGTTACCAACCCCTGTTATGACTAACAGTTCGCCATGGAAAGATCCACCATGCTATTAAGTTCGGTTTTTACCATCTATTTCTATGGGCATAAATGGGCCATTTCCCATGGCTATGTTAAATAACCAGAGGGTGCATGACTGGGCCATTTTTGGGGGGTAAATATGTAGGTATATATTCCACCACGGAGCATCTGGGTATGGAAGATTGAAGAATTCAACAGAAGGATTGTTCATGGGATTTCATGGGATTTGTTTTTGAAGCACCTAGAGAACTAGTTCATCAAGTCGTAAACCAACTTCGCCAGCTATTGGGCACTACCTTGTACTGTACAGAAATGTGATCCTTTCACCCAAATATAAAACATCCGGCATACAGGGCCCCAAATGAAAAGATTCAATTCTAAACCTGGGGGGGTACTGTATATAATATTGGGGGAAAGGGATTGCGGAGGTAGGGGTCAAAATTCCAACTCTGAGACGACCAATTTTGCTCAAGTCGAGTATCAAGCATCGCATTGCGGGGTTTGTAGCACAGTTTTGAGAGACATGCGCACACTATGAACCAACTCACTTCTGGTTTTTGACCACACAAGTTGTTCTTGACCCATGCAATGAGGGGCCCAACTAATGAACCTGTGAGGGACATTGGGGCATGTCATGGATGCCTTTCCTGAAGATGGGGCACTTCACCACTCCATACTTCAGGTTGCACAGTGAATCCACGCATATATATATGTATATATACACATAACTATACATATACATATATTATATAAATATACATATTATGTATACATGTATGATCCAGATGGATTCCAATTTATTTTTCCTATTGAATCCCCATCTTTGTTTGATGGTCATTTTTCAAAAAGCCATAAACATCCCAGCGATATCCATGATTTAAACCCATGGTTTCAACCGTAGGTTTTCCCATTCCAGGAGCTCGACGAGATGAGGCGCCTTCATACGGAGGAAGTGAAGCGCAGCTTGGGCGACGGCAGAGGTGGCACTGTTGTTGGTTATTTAGGGGTTATTTATATAATGATTTTTGAGTAGCTGTTTATTTTTTTTGTTTAATGTTTGATTTATGTAATTATTAGATAAGAGGATTGATGGAGGTTTATCCATGGAAAATGGAGCTTTAACATGGCCATAGCCATCCTGAAATGGCGACATATAGCCAGAGTTTCCAGGTTTTATCCATTTTTTCCCTAGATGTTCCAAGTGTTTCCAACATGTTTCCCCATTTTTCCCGGGCAAACCCTCCGCCCACCGCGCTCGCAACGAGGTCGCGAGGCGGACTTCGCCCAGGCCTCCGCAGATGCTACAGGGATGGCCGCAGCCATGGAGCAGCTGCGCTCCGAGCATCTGGCGGCGGTGCAGGAGGGCGAAGCGCTGGAGCAACGGCGGAAGGAGGACGGGACGCCCGGGACGCCCGGGACGGTGGAGGGATGGCAGTGCCATATTTTGAGGCCCAACTTAGATGATTTTTGATGGGTACTTTAATCCTTTAGTCTTTTGGTATCAATGGGAATATCTACTAACCAGCAAAGAATTTAATTTTTTGCAGGGTGTCTAAGATTGGCAATGTATTTTGAGGCCCAAGGTGAGTGTTCAACAGCCCTGGTTGAGGGGCGTTTTATGGGATTATACGATGTGTATTTTTTTCGAATTCAAGCATGATATAATTCCCATGACCTGGCTCTACCCTGATATCAACTATGATCTGGTTGGTGGTTTCAAACATTTTTTATTTTCCATGATATATGGGGTGTCATCCTTCCCATTGACGTTCATATTTTTCAAGATGGTTAAAACCACCAACCAGATGTGGTACTAGTACTGTGAATCCGTATGGTTACCGTCTGGTAATTTAACATAGCTATTGAACATGGCCATAGTTTTATAGTTAATAAGCACTTATCAACTGGTGCAGGATTTCTTCCACCAACCAGTCATCCTCTGGTAAACGTTCACATAACTATGGAAAATCACCATGCTATTAATGGGTAAATCATGGTAAATCCACTATTTCGACTGGGCCATTTTCAATAGCTATAAATGGATTCCATATACTTCTGGTAAACTAACATAACTATGGAAAATCACCATTTTTAATGGGAAAACTCACTATTTCTATGGCCATTTTCAATAGCTATTTTGACATAACCAGAGGGTACTTCCCATGTTTGGCAAACTTCTCGCCCTCCCAGGAGGCCGAGACCGCCGAGACCCTTCACTCGGAGCAGCAAGCAGCGGAGCGGCGGGCCGAGGAGTTGGACGCCACCATCCAGAGGTGCACATGAGGGATACATCATATGCGCCATATCATGGTGTATGTATATAGAATATTATAGAATTATATAATCAATAATTACTCTAATATATTCTATATATATATATATATGTATATTATATATATATATATATCGAGATAGTCGTTGTAATAACACCAACCATGATGTACTGGGTATGTGTGTGTATTTATATATATATATATATGCTAGCCCCCCCCAAAAAACGACGTTTTTGAGAGTTGGCAATGGGTGTCGTAGGGCTGCAAGGATTTGAAGGGATTGCAGACATGTATCATCCCAAACCACAAGATTTCAAAAAGGTAGGTCAAAATTGTAGATCTTTGGGGGGGGGTACCATATAGCTACAACCCCCCAAAAATCTACCATTTTCAGCTTTTTGTTGATGTCAAAGAGGTAGTATTTGTTGGGAACCTTTTGCAAAAACAAAGCTATTACTTTCAAAAAAGATGAGCACATACTCAGGTCATAAAGCACAACATTTCTTGAAGGAAGCAATCTGTTTTAAATTGCAGCGTTCCTTTCCATGCTTGACAAAAGGCAACTTCATTCATAAACTGCAATTTTCCTTCCAGACAAAGTATGACTTCGTTCAAGAAACAGTACCCCTACAAAGTATAGAGCATTCCTCTAAACATGCAGTGATGTTTTTTTCTTCTGAAGAAGTGCAGTCTTCCTTTCAAACTAATATTAAACCTTCCTTCAATCATACATATTTCTTTCAAAACACCAGATTCTAACATTTTGGATATGTCTATGTTTTTTGATGCAACAGAGTAAGAATAATATATTTATCAGCATTTTTTAATCTACAATGAATATAGCTTCATTATATATTCCATATGCTTTAATATACCAGTGAATTGGCCATGAACATATCTTTAATAAACCGGTAGTAAACCTTTGGCATACCTTCAATATCCCCTGTTAAATACAATCTTTAAAAACTTTAACATACCATTCAATATACCTGTAGCATTCCATTGGATAACGATGAAGCTACCTTTAATATATAGTTTAATTGGCCTTGAAAATATCTTTAGTATACTTTAAATATACCTTCAATGCATAAAACTTCACTATACCATTTAATCTACCTTGGATATACCATTTTATTGGCCATGAAAACATCTTTAACACACCTTTAGGATACCTCTCTACCTCTAGCATACCTTTTATTTTCCATTTAATTTGTCTTTAATAAACCTTTAATGTACCATCTATACTTAGCTTACCATTTAAGAACCGTTAATATTCCATTTGATATACCATTAATTAATACTATTAAACATGTCGTTTACTACACCTTTAGTATACCTTGAAGGTATATACCTTTCATATACCATTTAATTGACCTTGAAAATACCACTATGTCTCTAAAATATATTTTACTTACCATTTAGTTTGCATTTAATAAACCTTAGATATACAATCTAGACTTAATTCACCATGTTAGAATCATTAATATTCCATTTGATATACCATTACTATATGATTAAATATGGTTTTAGCATACAATTTTATATACCATGAATCTACCTCTAATATACCATTTGTTTGACTTTGAAAATACCTTTAATATACCTTTAGTATACCATTTAATCCACCTCTAATATACCATTTAATATACCTGTAGTATACCTGTAATATTCCAGTCTGGCCATGAATCTATATAATATATTAATATATATATTAATCTTTAGTATATCTTTAAAATACCTTGTGTTTTCATTAAAATGTCGCTTACTACACCTTTAATATTCCAAGTGCATGCAATACCTGAGAGCATAGCGCTATGTTGGCCCGCTAGCATAGAGGGCCAGGTACTTAGAGCAATTTTGTCACCAAAAGCGTTTGCAAACGTTTGCAAACGAGACTGGCTCAGGATTCAAGATTCAAGTTTCTGGATTCAAGAAGTTTTTTTTGAATCTTGAATCTTGAATCTTGAATCCTGAGCCAGTCTAAGTACTTGGGCCCCTGGACTCGTTTGCAAACGTTTGCAAACGCTTTTGGTGACAAAATTGCTCTAAGTACCTGGGTTCAACAGTAAGACAACAATTAATACACACATGTGTGTATATATATATACATATGGTACCCCCCACTGGAACTCAAACTGAACAGGGTAATCTGTCCCAAAAGCGTTGCGACCTCAAAAACGTCGGTTTTGGGGGGGTACCATATATATATAGAGTCATCCTGGGGTAGATAGAATACATTTGTTTTCGTTTTCAATAGTATTCCAATTTAACTTGGCATGTTCGGACATTTCCATACTCTATCTACTTTAGGATGATTATACATACTGGATCCATGCTTGCGAATAGCTTACATCTTTGGTTTAAATACAACCAACATGAATAATTAGGAACTAAAGATTTAATTCCTAGCTGCTTCGATAACGCCATTCTCCAAATTAAGAGTCTGACCCTGAGAATCACTACTATTTACAGTAGTTATCCACTTGACGTCGACTTGATGAGAAAGATGATGAACAAGTGCACTTGTTTTTCTTTTCGGACGTATCAATGATAAATATCTGGAACCCAAACTGGGCACTGACCAGAATCCTTGATGATTATAGGGCTAGGGCTTGTACATACTGCCTGGTTGATTTTGTTTAAAGGTGATTCACATGAGAATGGAACTTTTTGAACGCCTCAGCTCCAAGAATCCACAAAGCTCCATTTGTTCGGTTACCATCTGGTTATGACTAACAGTTCGCCATGGAAAGATCCACCTTTTTTAAGGTCGGTAAACCATCTAGCTATCGATTAGGGCCATCGAGAAACCATGGCGAACTGTGAATGTCATAACCAGAGGGTAAATCCACCAGAAGAGTGTCACAACGGCACGGCACCAGCTGGGCCGTTTCCGCCGGAGGTTGCAAGATGCTGTCGCCGCAGAGACCACTGCGCGCGAAGAGAATGACCGCGCGGCAGAGAACAGAGCAGCAGAGCTCCAGCAGAAGATTGAGACGTTGCAGGACGGAAAGCTGTAACTGTTTTCTTTGTTCCCCACCTGCCAGGTGAGGGTTGTTAGATTTTATGTCAGTTGCCTCCTCGTCCTCCTCCTCCTCCTGCTCCTCCTGCTCCTCCTCCTCCTGCCTCGTCCTCCTCTCCTCCTCCTCCTCGTCCTCCTCGTCGTCCTCGTCGTCCTCGTCGTCCTTGCTCAACTGCGACCCGCGATCCACAGTGTTCTCTGCCGGACCTCAACCACGACCATCCACGCCCAGTGTTCCCTGCCGGACCTCAACCACGACCATCCACGCCCAAGTGTTCCCTGCCGGACCTCATGTAGGAAGATATGGGACAAAGAATGTGCAGAAGAAAAGTTAGAAAGTCAGAGAAAGAATGTTATATGCCAGAAGATATGCAGAATATATGCCAGAAGATATGAGATAGAATGCCAGAAGATATGTCAGATAGCCAGATAGATAGATGTGCCAGAAGATATGTCAGATAGAGTGCCAGAAGATATGCCAGATAGAATGCCAGAAGATTTGCCAGATAGAATGCCAGAAGATATGCCAGAAGATATGCCAGATAGAATGCCAAATAGAATGTCAGAAGATATGTCAGATAAAATGCCAGAAGATATGCCAGATAGAATGCCAGAAGATTTGCCAGATAGAATGCCAGAAGATATGCCAGAAGATATGCCAGATCATATGCCAGAAGATATGACAGATAGAATGTCAAATAGAATGTCAGAAGATATGTCAGATAGAATGCCAGAAGATTTGCCAGATAGAATGCCAGAAGATATGCCAGAAGATATGCCAGATCATATGCCAGAAGATATGACAGATAGAATGTCAAATAGAATGTCAGAAGATATGTCAGATAGAATGCCAGAAGATTTGCCAGTAAGAAAATGTATAAATGTCATGGTGGGGATCACACGAAGTAAAGTAATTTTCTTTGTTTTTGTTCTTGTTGTTTCTAATTTTCATGTAAATGGGGCAAACAAAAAGTTTCGTTTCCCATATATTTGGAAAACATGGTGGGAAACAACTGGTCTGGTTCAAGGTTTGTCTTACATGGATCCATTGATGGATGCGGGCACCAAACATAGCATATACATGTGTAAAATTGCAAGGACATCTTTTCCAAAGTGATTCTGTGCAGAGTCCATGCTTCCTTTTGGAGGTTTGTAAACATGTGAAATTCCTTGAAGCCCCATCTTCTCTGATGTTTCAGAACCGCTCCTCTTCGGCTAAGCCTGCAGGACGAGCATGCAACGGCAGTGAAAGAGGGTCATTCCATTCAAACCAAGGCCGGTGAAGACATCGCTGACCTCAACAGCCAGCTGGAGCAAGTTCGATCCGAGTACTCAGCCGAGCGGGAAGGGAGAGCAACTGATCAGCAGCAGGCCGATTTCACAGCGGATGAGTTGAGGGCGACGATTCGAAAACTGGAAGATGCAGTGGCGCAAGAAACCACCGCACGTGAAGAGGATGAAAGGGAGGCAAAGAGCAGAGCTGAACAGCTCCAACGAGAACTTGAGACTGTGCAGGACGGGGATTTTCTGCAAGAGTTGCCCCTCCCAAGAAAACCTAGATACTCCTAGTATCTCTTTGGCAAAGTTTGAGGTGGCAAAAACCCGCTCCGAGGGTAAAACCGGAGTGGCCATGCCTCAAACCTTTGGGAACCACTGATTTTCATGGGTTATGTTATTCGTGATATCACCACTTGGCAAATCTTGGCAATGATGTAACCCAATGCCTGACTGCTGCAGGAAGAGCATGCCTCTGCCGTCCACGAGGGGCAGGTTTTGAAAGCTAAAACCACTGATGACATCGCGGACCTCAACTCACAACTGGAGCGGGCTCGATCCGAATATTCTGCAGAGATCGAAGGAAGGGAAGCAGACAACAACCAGGCAGAAAGTGCAGCAGATGAATTGAAGGTGCTCCGCTTAAAGGTTTGAAACCGGGCTGGCTTCTGGCTGGTTTCCTCAGGGTGATGAGCCCGATTCATCCCGATTCAATACTGGTTGGTGTTTTGGAACATGGCTTTTATGACTTTCAATATATATTGGGCATCCCAACTGGTCCGAACTCCATCATTTTTCAGAGGGGTAGGTCAGTTTGCCAGATTTTGAGGGTACCAATGGGCACCATTAAAATCCCCATGAAAAATCCCCTTAAAAAAAAAAACATCCCATTCGAATCCCATGAAATCTCAATAATATCCCACTACAATGTGGGGACCCCAAACGATAGCTAAGTTAGCGCAAATAACTCCAATTTCACTATGGTTTATGATAGGCAAATAGCTATAGTGTCCATGGGGTTTATAAACCAACAAACATCACTGGGGAATATCCCATTAAATCCCATGAAATCCAATGAAAATCCCATTGAAATCCTAGGAATATCCCATTAAAAAACAAGTCGAATTCCCCACAGAAAGGGTCATCTGAGGTCACCATTCAGCAGCTCCGTGACGCCGTGGCCTCCGAGACCGCGGCGCGGCAGGCGCTGGAGAAGGACGCGGACGCGCAGACCCGCGAGCTGAGCCAACAGGTCAGCGAGTGGCACCTCGGGGCAGCCCTTCGTTTTTTTGGGTGGGGAAAAACATTGGGTAAACATTGCAATTTATCGGGGGTTATGGGGATTTATGTGATTTTGTGGGGTGATTGATGTGAATGGTGATGTGATTGTTGTGGTGATTTAGGGATTTATGCAATTTTTGGAGGATTTAACAATCAAAATATATCAAACATATAGGGACTTTAGGCTGAAACCGTTTGATTATTTACAGCAAGAGGGATTGGGATTCAACATGATGCACACAGATTTGGGGATGTTTTTTGGACTATTTTTCTGCATAGCAAATGGATTCAGCACCTTTTGTTCAGCAAAAAAAATCATTTGATTTGATCCATCTTTCTCGGGCATATGCTGCAAAGGAACTCTGGCGGATTTCAGCAAGAACAGAGTCGATCTCACCATATTTATCCAAGGAAAATGTGGATTTAAACCTTGAACACTATTGGATTTTAAGATGGATTTTACCAACAAACGTGTGAAAATTTCACCTGGAACAATATGATTTAATATGGTTTCTGTTTCAACTAACATATGGATTTTACATATGGATTTCACCGTTTCACCGTTGTGACTGACATTACGGGCCGAAATTGGGGTCCCCATGGCATCAAAAAACCGCTGGGATCATCTTAGATGTGCTGGAAAATCTCTCCATCTCTATGGCGATATATTCAGACCGGCGGAAGATTTTCCACCATGTTGCAGGGCATCTAAGGTTGGCTATAATATGATCATGTTATGTCATGTTATATCCACATCCCCAAATAAATCACTATTTGTGTATGTCTTTTGTGGCTCAAATCAACATGTGGATCTTGGATTCGCAGGGTTGCTAACATCTGTAAATGATCGCCACAGTGGGGGGAACTAGGTCATTTTGCCAGTTCCCGCCCCCCTGTATCTGGCGTGTTGGGAGCAGCCCTGATTGACAATGCCTATAGTTAGCCAAGTTGGTTGATAGATTAACTTGACATTGCGGTGGTGAAAGAATGTGAAATAACTACACCTAGACGGCGAACATAAAGCAACAAACACCAGGTTTGGGGGCGCCAGCTTGTATGTACTACCATTCAAAAAACCTAGGGTTTCTTACCCATCTAACATCATCTAACTATAGTTATAAGATGTTGTAAGTTATTACAATGATAATCACTTGTAAGTCTAGATGGGTAAGAAACCCTAGGTGTTTCAGTTATCACCATCAACCCAACCAAACATAACTGGCACATCACCTTTCTTTTTCAGACTTTCCGCGTGCTTAGCACGCAGCCCCGCGTCCCCAGGCAGGCCAAGCATGCCGCCAGCCTCCAGACAGCATCCGAGGAGGCGGCGCGCTTGGGCGAAACGCTGCAGCAGTGGCAGGCGGAATGCGCGGAGGCAGGGGCGGAACGTGTTTTTTTTGTGGAAAAATGGGTATGGGTCAATACCTATAGATACATTTTAGTGGGATGAACATCCATTTACCAGCTATTTTGGGGTTCACTAGGTACCAGAGTTTTGACCCATGCCCAAATGGAGGGGATTTCAGCTTGAAAATGAGGATTTGAAATGATTTAAGTACAAGATAGATTTAGAGGGGCGTCTTGGGGATTGGGATTTAAGGTCAAGTAAAACATATCGATGTAGGTGATTTGTTCGGTGACAAAAAAGTGATGGAAGGTTTAATTAGACTGGGATTTGTTTGCTGGATTTATCCAGCAAGAATGGCGGGTGAAAAAGCATCAAGAATGGAGATTTAACATGATTTATGTATTCATGAACAATATGGATTCAACCAGAGACCATGGATTGGGTTGCCCAATAATAGGGGAAAAAACATTATCACATCATTTCATAGAGAGACAACGCACACATGGCTGGCTTGAAATTCCTCCATGTAAATTTGTAGATCCCTTCGCTCAAAATCGAGAGTGCATGTTTACTGGCGTTGGTTCTTTCCCTCCTGAATTCTGTAAGTGAATGTAAGTGAGCCAGTAAAAATACCTTGGTTGTTCGGTCATTATAGGGACTATTGGGTTATTGGGGATAATTAAAACAACCCAAAGTAGGGACACCTATCAACCAAGTAGTATAATGAGATGGGATGATAACGGTATCTTTAATGGCCCAAGTTGAGTATAGTTGAGCAATTTTGGAAGTAAATTCTGGTTTGATACAAGGCTGGGCACCCCAAACGATAGGTAACTGATTTTTGTTGACCGGGCCCACTGGGTTTACGGGGGATATATTACAGTTGGATGGGTTCATAAAACATTAGTATAGTCGATATTTCCCAACTAATGACAATTGCCCTACCATGGGTTTATGGACATCAATATAATATATTCAAATCCAATAGGATTAGC